TAGGAAACTGTGTAAAAGCCTTACCAGCAAGAAAACGACAAGTCCATAATCCTGAAGAAACACCGTGCTCTGGTTTCACTCTTGAACGCCCACAAATACGCTCGAAGTTTTGCCGGGGCCGCGCCCGCAAACAGGCTTGAGGCCCCGCCCGGGCCGCGCAAGGCGCTGGTAACGCGCGGGCGGCTGAAAGGACAAAAACGGCCAGGCTCGCTAGCCCGCTCGGGATCCCGCTCGGGCCAAGCACGGATGCCACGCGAAGCACCGCTCGGGAGTTCCGGGGCGAGCGCGGATGCCTTGCGGAAGCCATACAGTTAGCACACGCCAGACCCTCTTGCGCCTCGTTTGGCCGTGTCAGCCAGGGCTCTTTGCATCACGCCTGTCAACCCGCTTCTCTACTGCAATAGCTGTCTTGACAATTGAATTTGGCTTTGGGATTCACAAACAACGGGCCCCTATAAAAGCCTGGCAACTCCATCCCTGAAGCAATGCTTCTTGCGACTTGAAAGGACGCCCGAAGCAAACATCAACGACATCATCAAGAAGCTCGCGTTGTCCAAGTGTTGCATCATGTTGCACCCAAACGCAAACGCATTAATTATCGCAGCGGACAGTTGGGCCCGTGTAAAGGCTTTACCCGCAAGAAAAAGACAAGTCCATCATCCTGAAGAAGCTCCGTCCTCTGATTTTACTCTTCAAAGCCCACAAATACGCTCGAAGTTTTGCCGGGGCCGCGCCTGCAAACAGGCTTGGGATCCCGCTCGGGCCGAGCACAGATGCCGAACAAAGGCGCTGGTAAGGACCAAAGCAGACACGCTCGGGATCCCGCCCGGGCCAAACCCGTGAGAAGGACCAACACCGTCACGCTCGGGAGTCCACTCGGGCCAGCTATGGATGCAACAACGCGCAGGCGCCTGCAAGGACCAAAGCGGCCAGGCTCGCCTGCCCGCTCGGGATCCCGCTCGGGCCGAGCACGGGTGACACGCAAGGAAAAAGCAAAGGCAAGCGAAGCCACGCTCGGGAACCCGCTCGGGATCCCGTTTGGGGCTGACACGCAAAGGCGTCACTCTTGCGGAAGCCATACAGTTAGCACACGCCAGACCCTCTTGCGCCTCGTTTGGCCGTGTCAGCCAGGGCTCTTTGCATCACGCCTGCCAACCCGCTTCTCTACTGCAATAGCTGTCTTGACAATTAAAATTTGGCTTTGGGATTCACAAACAACGGGCACCTATAAAAGCCTGGCAACTCCACCCCTGAAGCAATGCTTCTTGCGACTTGAAAGGACGCCCGTAGCACACATCAACGACATCATCAAGAAGCTCGCGTTGTCCGAGTGTTGCATCATGTTGCATCCAAACGCAAACGCATTATCGCAGCGGACCTGCAGTTGGGCCCGTGTAAAAGCTTTACCCGCAAGAAAAAGACGAAGCACTGTGCTCTGATTTTTCTCTTGAAAGCCCACAAATACGCTCGAAGTTTTGCCGGGGCCGCGCCCGCAAACAGGCTTGGGATCCCGCTCGGGCCGAGCACAGATGCCGCGCAAAGGCGCTGGTAAGGACCAAAGCAACCACGCTCGGGATCCCGCTCGGGCCAAACCCGTGCCAAGGCGCAGATAAGGACCAACATCGTCACGCTCGAGAGTTTAATGCAACGCGCAGGCGCCTGCAAGGACCAAAGCGGCCAGGCTCGCTAGCCCGCTCGGGATCCCGCTCGGGCCTTGCAAAGGCAAGCGAAGCCGCGCTCGGGATCCCGCTCGGGATCCCGCTCGGGGCGAACGCGGATGCCACGCAAAGGCGTCACTCTTGCGGAAGCCATACAGTTAGCACACGCCAGAACCTCTTGCACCTCGCTTGGCCGTGTCAGCCAGGACTCTTCGCATCACGCTTGCCAGCGCGCTTCTCCTACAATATTTGCCGTTTCCTGCAACGGCGTCTTGATAATTGAATTTGGCTTGGGGATTCACAAACAACGAGCCCCTAAAAGCCTGGCAACTGCACCCCTAAAAGCCTGCTTCTCCACCGCTAAAGCAATGCCTCCTGCGACTTGAAAGCGCGCCCGTAGTAAAACGACTGACATTATGAAGAAGCTTGCTTCGTCCGAGCGTTGCATCATGTTGCGCGCAAACGCAAACGCATTACCGTCCCGAACTCAAGCTGCGCTAGGACACAGTGTGGAAGCTCTACCCGCAAGAAAAGACAAGTCCATCATCCTGAAAAAACACCGTGCTCTGGTTTTAGCACACGCAGACACGCTTGCGCCTCCTTTGGCCGTGTCAGCCAGGAGTGTTCGCATCACGCTTGCCAACGCGCTTCTCCTACAGTTTTTTTGCCAAGCAGACTCGCTCGGGATCCCGCTCGGGCCAAGCGCATCAGTCCTGAAAGATCCGCTACCTCGCCACCACCTTGCGACAGCGAGAAGAATCGCCACGCTCGGGAGTCCACTCGGGATGCAACGCGCAGGCGGCTGAAAGGACCAAACCGGCCAGGCTCGCTAGCCAGCTCGGGATCCCGCTCGGGCCGGCTACGGATGCCACGCGAAGGGGCCTTGGCGGGCAAACTTAAAACTTTCAGGATCCCGCTCGGGAGAAACGCGGATGCCACGCACAGGCATGTGCGAACGCAAGCGCAAACGCACTTGGGCTTCCGCTCAGGCTAAGCAAGCTTCAAGAATCCGCTCAGGCTGAACTTGTAAGGCCCAACATACGGCCAAACCTCTGACTTACAGTTAGCACACGCCAGACCCTAGCGCCTTCTCAGCTGGTGTCAGCCAGGACTCTTCGGATCATCACGCTTGCCAATGCGCTCCTCCTAACTACAGTCTTTGCCCTTCACTGAAATGGCAACGCAGCAGTTTTAGTGCGTGGCATGCACCCCCATTATTCGGCGAAGGGCGCGCTTCTCCCTTAGGTGCATCCATCGGCGCAACTGCGGCACCCCCCCCCCCCCAGGATGTTTCGAAGTAATGATGATTCTGGCATGGCAACCTGCAACAGCACCCTGCGCAACTCTGCAGCACCCTGCGCAGCTCTGAGTCTCGTCCTGCCTTCCTTTCCTTCCTTCCTTCCTTCCTTCCTTCCTTCCTTCCTTCCTTCCTTCCTTCCTTCCTTCCTTCCTTCCTTCCTTCCTTTGCTTCCTTTGCTTCCTTTGCTTCCTTTGCTTCCTTTGCTTCCTTTGCTTCCTTTGCTTCCTTTGTTTCTCTTGCTTCCTTTGCCTCCTTTGCTTCCTTTGCTTCCCTTGCTTCCCTTGCTTCCTTGCGTCTTTTGCTTCCTTTGCTTCCTTTGCTTCCTTTGCTTCCTTTGCTTCCTTTGCTTCCTTTGCTTCCCTTGCTTCCCTTGCTTCCCTTGCTTCCTTGCTTCCTTGCTTCCTTGCTTCCTTGCTTCCTTGCTTCCTTGCTTCCTTGCTTCCTTGCTTCCTTGCTTCCTTGCTTCCTTGCTTCCTTGCTTCCTTGCTTCCTTGCTTCCTTGCTTCCTTGCTTCCTTGCTTCCTTGCTTCCTTGCTTCCTTGCTTCCTTGCTTCCTTGCTTCCTTGCTTCCTTGCTTCCTTGCTTCCTTGCTTCCTTCCTTGCTTCCTTCCCTTCCTTCCTTCCTTCTTCCTTCCTTCCTTCCTTCCTTCCTTCCTTCCTTCCTTCCTTCCTTCCCTTTGCTTCCTTCGCTTCCTTTGCTTCCTTCGCTTCCGTGCTTCCGTGCTTCCTTCCGTCCTTCCTTCCAATGCCCATGTAAAGCTATTTTGATGCCAAGCCTTATTTCAAAGACCTTGAACAATCCGACTGCCAGACTAGTTGGAGTGCTAACTGTTGGGCCTCAACCACGGCTTGGGAAAAAAACGCTGCGCAAGAGCCCAAACAGTTAGCACTCAACGTTGGAATGCCGTGTGCTAACTGATTGATACCCACTATAATGCGCTGCAATGCTGGGTACCCCTCAACGACCCAAAGGGTACCGAGCCTCAAAGAAACCAAACACATCTGCATGTAGCAATGGGAAACATGTCATAATACACAAACATTATCTCACTTGCCCAAAGGACCCAGAAATAAAAGGTTAACCGTTTGGCACCTCCACTAAAAATGGTCCAACTCTGGGAAACGAAAAGGTTAAAAGGTCGGCTTTGGGCAACTGAGCTATGAAACGGGAGCATGATATTAGAGCATAATTATTATAGAATATGCTTCCATACAAATAACACATAACTATTAGATAACATTGTAAAACGTAACCTTCCATGTGCTCAAACACCAACAGCGACTAAACCAACGGCGGGACCACTAAACATATTCTTACTTCCATTTGCCTAAGCCCGCTGAAAAAAAACACAACAAGTCCAGTAGTGTGAAATTCCCTTTAAAACCAATAAGGGACAATAAACAACATCCGCATTTTTGCAAGTGAAAGTAACTTGCCATCAAATCGACGCGCCCAGAATCCCCGGCTTTCCCCTACGGTTCAACCCCCATTAAAAGAAAGGCAAGGACCCAATTTGGATGATGACAATCCTTAGGCAAACAATGGTGGTCATAGGTGGCCTTTTGGAAAAATAGAGGGTTTCCCTGGTAAATGGAACAAAACCCATCTAATCCAGTGGAACCCATCGATTTTCAACCAGGCTCACCTAAAAAGGACACCCATGATGGTGGTTCTATGCCTGTGGGTCAAAGCCATTGGTGCCATTTTGGGGTTGGTGCACCACCCATTTTAGTCTATTTTAGTGGGGATTGGGATGTTCACTGGAGTACGGTGAGCCTTCTGTGTTTTCATGGTGGTAGAGACAACCAAATGGAACGCTGGACAGAGGCTTCTTTTTGGCTTTTCAGAATGGCCATTCTTGTCCAAGCGAGTCGTAGCAAACCGTTCTTATCAAGCGAGTCGTAGCAATGTCTATGCCTGGAAAAAAAAGAAAAGCAAATCTTTCCAGTAGCGATCGATTCATTTTAAAGCCAACAGGAGCAAAAACAAATAAAAACAAATGGAAGTTTACTGGTGGCAGCTGACTCCGCCATTACGGCGCCTCGGAGAAGGCCGGCCCGAAGCGGCTCTTCAGCTCCTCCGGCTGCAGCCAGCCCAGGTCCCCGATCCTCGACCGAATGGCCCGACCAAAACGGAACTCGGGACCCCTTCTCGGAACTCGGAACTCGGGCGCGGGGAACGGGCGGAAACAAAAAAACATCCAAAGTCCAGAAATTGGGCTCGGCTCGGCCGGAACTGGCGGGAAATGGGAACCAAAAGGGAACATATACTTTGGGACGGGCTGGGTTTCAGGGGATGTCCCAATCCGAACGAAAGCTTCGCCCCTTTTGGCCACTAAAATGGTCTGCCCAACACGTATGAAGCCCAGGAACTCAGGAAGCGAGTTTCCCGTTCAAAGAATTTGGTCTCTTTGTGAAGGGTGTCAAGGGGAACCAAAGCACGCTAATGTGCAAGCCCAACATTAAAGAAAGAACTACTTGGCATTACATGCAAATATTGATGGGGGTACCCTAAAACCGAAGATCCCTGAAAAGGAACACAGTACTCGCATGCAATGGAGAAAATTCACCCCATCACCTTGCCCTTAAAAGGAAAAGGCTCTTTTTGGAGCAAACGACACAATATATAGCTTTTTCAGCAAACGGCAGAAAAACTGCACACCTGGAGGGTCTAGGTATCATAATACACAAACGTTATAAAGCGTGACCCAGCTGTCGATCCGGTGCCGAAAATAACTCAGGCTATGGCATGCCACCGCCCTTCTGCGCAGTCGGGCATTCCGAGAGCTCCTATCGGACGGATCTGACTGGGCGGTTGGTTCACAAAAAAAAAACGGGGGTCCCCCGCAATGGTGATTTAATGGTGGCTGAGCTGTGTCCAAAAAAAGGCTAAACCCTCCCCCTCCCCAAAAAAAGAGAGAAAAACAAACAGTTTCAAAACAGAAACAATGGTGGCTTTATGGTGGTTTTCCTTTTGCCTTCCCTTGAAATCCAGCTGGGAAAGGTAACCTCGACAAAGCCACGCACACACGCACACACCTAACTGAACTGTGGTGTCCTGCGCTGTGGCACGTTTCCTTGACCCTGAGCCACAGTCAGTGTCCGATGTGACCCCACTTGACATGGGCAATGTGGTCAGTCATCTGCATCTTCGAATGCCCTGCTGGATGTTTGGTGAGTACAATGCCATTACAATGCCATCCCCGTTGCTAGCACATATGAGTTATAATCAAAACCTGGTATGCAAATGGCCTATCCAAAACCATGTAAGTAGTTAGAAGGGCGCACATCCGCGCGCCCACTAAGCTTCAATTAGCCGGAGTGTGCGCCGGAACGTACCCCGATCCCGGCTGTTCACGCTTTGACACAGATCCAGGATTCCACGGTCTTTTTGGATGACACAGCGGCGGCTTCGCGGGCCCACTTCCAAATGCCATACTTCCATTTGCTGAAGCTCACTGGAAAAACAAATAAAGCATATATTTCCAGCAGTGATAAATTCCGCAAAAAACAACACATTCAGAAGTAAAAAACAAAACACAAAAATAGTGATATAATATTCCCAGTAGTGAAATCGATTCCCTTCAAAAACACAACAAGGGAAAATAAAACAAATGCTCTCAAGCAAATGGAAGCATATTGTATTCTGGTCGTGCCACTTTCCCAGGCCTCAAGAGGGTGCAAAAGTCAAAACCCAGCTTGCCCATGGCGCATCGCACTTCTTGAAGGCAAGGGGCCACCGTGAAAGCTACGTAGCCTCTTGCCTGGTTTGGCAAGTTTCAAAAGGGAACCGGTCTGAGTGAGCGAATCATCTGGACCAAAAAAAAATGAGAAACATATTTTTTGACGCATAGCAAGCTGCACTTCCATTTGCCGCCCAGTGCTGAACCCGAGCCTTGCAAAGGGAGGTGAACTTTGGGCTCGGCTGCAGCGCGGCAGTGCTCGCCTTCTTCCCCGCAGGCAGCTTGATGGTTTTGGCCTGGCATTTTGGGCCATCGACCGAATCCATCGGTTAAACGGACATTAAAACGGTGGGTAAGAAACATCTTGTGACTCGCTCGCACTTACCAGGAATTCCTCGTTGATCAACCTCTTTCAGGAAAGGCCTCTCAACCATGAGGGGATGCCAGTTGCGCTCGAGCGCTTCAAGGAACGGACAATTGGTCTCATGGAGCCCCCAGGTACCTCCTTTTGCCTTAGACCCATCCCACCAAATCGATGAACTGAAGTTGGTAGAAACTTGGCCCGGATGTTGAAGGATTCCCCACAGTCTTGTTATACAAAAAGCATGAGCAAGCGAGCAAAGACCAAAACCCGAGCTGGCTTTTGGTTCTGCCAACATGGTTCGTCAGGTTTATGTATGGACTACCACAATCCCTATCTTCCATTTGCTTAAGCCCCCTGGATGAAATCGATTCCCTTAACGCCAACAGGGGAAATTAACAAATATTCACTTCAGCAAATGGAAGCTGTTAAGCCATGTAGTACCACCATCCTACTTAACTAGGTTTTGAGTAGAGAGGTCAGAATAAGGGCACCAACTTTTTGTTCTTCCGTAGTCTATTTTAGTCGGGGAACCCTCCCAACCAAAAAAGGGGTGAGAAAAGGCACTACTGGGGGGACCTAGCGGACCTGTTGAGGCTTGGGGCGGTGCTCAAAAAGTTGAAACCAGGGCCATTGGCCCACCTCTGACCGCGGAAACTTGGCGTCGCCTCCGTGATGAGATCTTGCAGGGCTTGCCGCAGGATAGCCTCTGCCTCCTCACAAGTGGACATGCCATCCTCATGGGGGGTGGGGGGGTAGGAAGGGGAGGGGGAGGGAGCCCAAATAAGCCCTTAATAAGGCCGTATTTAGGGCCTTTTGGGGCTCCCTCTCATAGTGCTCATAGTCAACAATAGCCACTCGCTTGTTCGACCTTCCCAGGCTACACTTCAATCCCTGAGTTTAAGTCTACCTTGGGCTGGTTCCTGATTCTTTTCAACCATCGGCCATTTTGCCTGACGGGTTCTGGAAGGAAGGGTGGCTGGACAGAATGGGGAAGTTGGCCCTCCAACCAAATGAGCCGCGCCCCAAACCCATGAATGGTTGATTCCAAACCTGACGTCAAAGCCAAGACTCACCTTGGATATGACACACGCAAACATAAACAAACCAGGCCTCCCACCCCCATGAAACCCGCTAGAACCACCATGACGAACCAACCCAAGTAGCCCTCACTTCCTGAGTGGATTGGCAAAAAACAGTGACCAAACAATTCATTTACAACTAAACTGAGCTGTCCTCAGATCCCCTGCCAAAAAGTTTAACTTTTAGTGGGCTAAATGGAAAACCCCACTAAACACCAGAAAGCTAAAAAGCTAATGAACCGGATGGCTCTCCCAGCCACCAAGTACAATGGCAACCAACCCCAAAAGTGACCAAAGTCCGAAACGGAGCAACTCTGGAGCGAGCTCTTCCTCGGGTCTGGGCCGCCTTTTCGAGAAAAAAAACAAAAAAACAAAAAAACAACCTGCGCGCTCTCCTGCGGGGTGCGCCCGATGGCCACGTTCCTCACCGGGTCGAAGGGCGCGCTGCAGTCCTGGTGCCGCACCTCGGCGCCATCGTCGTCACCCGCGCGATGGGGACCCGCCCTAAGGCCCCCAACCACAGCCCTGCGGAAAGGCCTAGCTAGACGACTATGAAAGGCACCAATTGGATGGCGATCCGGAACCGCCAAGAAAATAGTGACCCCAAATGTAGGGAGCCCTGACTGTTGCTTCCCCAGCGCCAAGGTGCCACAATGTGGCGCAGGCGGACGCTCTCCGCTTCCTGGCCGGTGGGTGGTTGAAATCGAAGACCGTGAGCGACCGCACCACGAAATGAAACCATGGTTGACGCCATAACGTATGTTCGTATTTGTAGGGTGGTCGAATCATTTCAGTATTTCTGCACGGTGGTGCAATATTTGTTGTACATCCACAGTGGGCATAAGGTGTACCTGGTATATGGATATGTTTAACCAAAGTAACCTAACAAGGACACCTATGATGGTGGGTGTCTTCCTTTTCTTTGGTTTCTTCAAACAAGACGCAAAGACACAGATCTTAGGACATCTTGGGTTCCTTCCTTTCTGTTCTTGATTCGGTTTTAGGATCACCTCAATGCATTACATGGTAGACTTCCTTTCTGTTGTCCGTTTCCTGTTTAAAGTAACGCCGGCAAACATTTCCCGGGGCTCTTCCTTTCTTCTGCCGGCGGTTCCATTCAAAAACGGATGCTCAAGCATTCACGTCACCTGCGACTGAGCATGTCTCAACCGGTTCCATTTTAAAACGGATACCTTCCAGGTCAAGTCTCCAGTACTAGAACTGCTTGCAAGCTGATCAAGTCATTCACGTCACCTGCGACTGAATCACATGTCTCAAGCTACCGGCTGGTCGAAATGCTGCACCACCTAGGAGCGCCTGAAAGGTTGCTTCCGTAAATGCCAAATGGTTTCAACCATGGTTTCCGAGTGGTGCGGTCGCAGATTTTGTCTATCCACAGTAGGGGAACCCTTCTTTTGAGCTTTCGTTTCAGGGCTGTGGGAATTGACCACTTCTGTGATACAACAGAAAGGGCTTCCAAACACTACCCCCCCCAAGAAAAACAAAAAACAGAGGGTGATTCCCAAAAGTATCACAGAAGTGGTTGGAGCAACCCCGAGTGATCCCACGAACCTGTATCGTTTGGATGGGTTCCTTAATGTTCACCCCGTAGTAATCAACCCCAGTTCATTACTAGGGGGGTCTCCCTGGTTCAGTGGGAAATCAGACCACTTTAGGAGGGGAACACCCCCTGAATTGAACAAAGAGCTGTTGATTAATATGGGTGTGGGCCAAAATAGGTTGCCCATGTACGTGGAACCAAGGACTAAAAAAACAGCGGTTCAATTCCTGGTGGTTTCATTTTGACCCACTTCCATTTGCTTAAGCCCCCTCAAAAAAAAGAAGCAACTATTTCCAGTAGTAATCGATTCCTTTTAAAACCAACAGGGGAAAATAACACCTCTTCTTAAACAAATGAAAACCCATACCCATGTGGGGCTCCTTAAGGAGCACAGGAAACACCCACACCACACCACCCACATACACGACTCGCGCGCCTTCTTCGCCCGCTTGGCGGCCGGCTCCGCAACCCGGTCGTCCTTGGGCACGAAGTAGACCACGATGCTGGTGCACTGCCTGCCCCCCCAAATCCCATTCCATTCGCTTAAGCCAGGGGGGCGAGAGGGCGGGGTTGCTTCTGGGAAGTCCTGTGAAGAAATATGAGAGAGCCTTCTTTAGAGCTTGTTTACTAGCTCTTCCAGTTTTCAGAGGTTAGAAGGGTGCCAACCTTTTTCAGCACGTCTATTTCAGTAGGGGCTTGCCCTCCCCCAAAAATATTGTTGGTTAAAGGACACCTAGCTGGGGGACCATTTCCTGCCCTTTCTTCTATTTCCTTAAGCCTCCCAGACCAAAAAAAAACGTAGTGATGGGTTCCCATCCAAAAACAGGGGAAAAGAACACATATCTTAAGCACATGGAAGCATGGGGGTCCGTTTCTCGGTCCATGTAAATAATAATGACAATGAATCCAAAAGCACTCTCTCTCTCTCTCTCTCGTGCCATCGGACTCCGTCCCACTGGTGTAGGGGCTGGGCGGAATCAAAAAATAGTTTTTAATTGTGAGAAGGGTTTCTTTCTCAGTATTCAGAACACCGTTCGCTCTTTGTTTTTCTCATGAGTGGAGCTCCGGATTTGTTTATCCCAGCGGGCAGTACCAAGACGACTGGCACCAAGAAAAGGACACGAGCCAGCTGAATAGGTCCCAAATTCACAGAAGCAAAAGAAAGAAAAGAACTGCCGTTTTAGAGTTGGATTGCCTTCTAGGAAATGGACTTCGCGTTGCATCGCCAAAAATTGCCGAGAGGCATCTGGAATCTGCTTCCTTCGAGGGGTGGCCAAAAGCCTTTGCTTTTGGCCGTGAAGCGACCAAGAGGCCAACCTCCAAAGATGGTTTGGTTGCCCCCAACAAATGCCAAAACACAGAATTTGCTGATTCATCTAGGGGGAAGGGTGAAAAAGAATGGTTGGAACAGGGGTCACTAGATTTCTCCTTCAGATCCTCTGTTTCCATTAAAACGATCGCCACTTTTGGAGGCCCCAAGAAAGGGAAACGCAGGAACCCCCGTATTTGTAGGGACCCGGAATCCGGAATGGTGAGCGTCAAACGGTTGTGGGAATGAATACACTTGTGGGGAGCCCAATATACAACAGTCGTAGCCACTTTGCATTCTTCCAGCCAGAAAACGTGCGCTGGCGGTTTGAAGCGGGCAACGGGCTAAGTTCTCATGCATTATTCGACTTCCCCCACCAACCCAAACTAAACTCCAAAGAACTATGACAAAGCCTTACTTAGAGCTTACTTACCCTAATTTGTCCTTTCTTGCGTTCTCCTTTAGGGGTATGTTCCAGGGTCTGGTGGTAACCTTTGAAAAATAAGTTCAACATGGACCCCGGGGTGTCCAAAGCGCAAGCAGGGAAATCCAGATGAGCCTCCCAGCACGGCGAAATCCGTTTCGAGCGAGGGTAGAAAATCACCATCCCAACCATCCCTTTCAAAACCCAAGGGTGGCTTGCAAGAACTCCCCTCAACATGATTTGCTTTGCTCTGGATTGTACGTTGGGGCCCGTGTTCCCATAAGGAGCGATTTAAACCAGAGCAAAGCACCCAAGGGTCCCTGGAAAGCTTGTCCTTGGATCGGGGGACAAGCGGTACATAATGATCCACCCCTTGCGGTGGTTGCGCTTCCGATCACAAAGATCACCTTTCGTAGGCCCCATGGAAAAACCCATGGCTCCAACTTCTCAGGGGCGATTCCGTCACAACAAAACTAGGCTGGAAAAAAGGGACCCCAGCAAAAATAATCTGGTTAGTGGAAAACAAAGGGGACCGCTAAAAAGCAAGAAAGGAAAAAGGGGAGCTAATTCTGGGGAAGAAAAAACAACAACTTGCCATCAATGTGGTGTGGACCTCGCCCTGAAGGTTTAGAGCGATCCTCCCTTGTCATCACCTTGCTGGTGCCATAGGGGGGCTTTGGCCGGGATGCGCATTGGCGTTCTGCGGGTTCCCAGCGGCACGGCTGGCAATCTCCCCGCTGGCAGCCTCCGAAGAGCTTGGGTTTCAGCCTATGAGGTCCTTTTGGGTGTCTTTGCAAGGGAATGACCCCACACAATTTGTGGCTTTCACTGGTGGACACCCCTTTAAAACCACCCAAAGATGGGGTGCCCACAAAAAAGACAAAGCCTTTTGACTGCAAAAAGGGGAGGCTTGGCAATTGTCATACCAACTTCTATCTTAAAGCCCTTGAGGACTTACCAGTGCGCAATCTCAAGAAACACGAGGAGGCAGGGGACGGAACGGAGCAATTGGCCAGGGCAAAGGAGCCACACGCTGCATGTACCGGAAGAGTCCGGGGAAAGGTTAAATGTCACGATTCTTCAGCTAAGACCCTTCAAGGTATCATTTTTTCCGGAACAGGGAGAAGCAAAAGGACCCAATCTAGGTCTTCCAGTAGAGAGGATAGAATAAGGGTACCAACTTTTTCCTGTAGTCTATTTTAGGGGAACCCTCCCAACCAAAAAAGGGGTGAAAGAGCGGGCACCTAGCCGGGGGACCTAGCAATACTCATCCTCTAGCCAGTCCTCGGAACGCTTGTGTGGGGGACCCCTTTTGGGGTAACCTTTTGTAGGTTGCTTAAAAGCACAACCCTGCAAAAAACACAATCTGTCAATTTACCACCAAAATGGCGACCAAACCCAGCAAGTGACAAACCTCCGTTTCCCGACTTCGGGGAGAGAAACGGAAGACCGAAGCCACTTTGGGGGGGGATCCCACCCAAAATTCGCGTCGAGCGGCTCGAGGCTTCTGATCGAAGTCGGTGATGAAGTTGCATGCCTGGGCTCCACTGGCGGGCGGTTTCTTGGCGGCCAATTCTGGGGACGAAATTGAGATGTTCAAAAAGCACCCCACATGTCTAGATTTATTGGTGTGGGCCAAATGAGATGTTCGAACTTACCAAAAAACAGTCGAAAAAAAGGGGGCGGAATCCACCGGGCGACAGAGTAAACCAAATTCATCGCGCCTGGTCTGCTGGCAGCGCAGACACCGGCATGGAGGTGAGCATGATGGCGGTATGTCGCTCAGCCCAGGAGATGTCCTAGCCAAACCAGCGGCTGGCGGACAATGTGTTGGTTGATAGGTTCGTGGGTTGGCGGGTTGGTGGGGTGGGGGGGGGGGTGGGGGTGGGTGGGGTGGGGTGGGGTGGGGTGGGGTGGGGTGATGATGAGGTGGGGCGGGGCGGGGGCGGGGCGGGTGGGTGGGTGGGGTGGTGGGGTGGGGTGTGGGTGGGGGGTGGGGTGGGGTGGGGTGGGGTGGGGTGGGGTGGGGTGGGGTGGGGGGGTGGGGTGGGGTGGGGTGGGGTGGGGTGGGGTGGGGTGGGGTGGGGTGGGTGGGGTGGGGTGGGGTGGTGGGGTGTGGGGTGGGGTGGGGTGGGGTGGGGTTGGTTGGTATTTGGTGGGGGTCGGGGTTGTATTTGGGGGTGGGGGTGGGGGTGGTATTTGGGGGTGGGGGTGGTGGGGGCGGGTTGGGTGGGTGGGGGGGTTGGTTGGTTGGTTGGGGGTTGATTATTTTCCTGGCCCCAAAATGACCGCGGGTATCCCTAATGGTTGCGGGCGGTCACCACTCGGAGCATTCCGTGGATGGACGAAATCCATGTCGCACCGCCTATGAAACCAAAATTAAATAGCCATAACGTTTGTTGGTATTTACGTTGGGGAATCAAATCTGGGTGGATTCTTCTTCTTCTCTAGCTGCGGACGGTGCGCGTTGCTATCAACATGCAAGGCTGGTGTTCAGCCCGCGAAATCGGGCTGGATGGCATCCAGTCTGTGCTGGATGCCCCTATGCCAGAGTTCCCACTCCGCGGGAAGCTGGCTCGCCACTTCGGCACCCAAGCTCAACATGCGCTGGGCATGTTGCGCAAAACCCCTAGCCACTACCTGGCAGAGCCCCGGGGGGTACACTTTGGCCGCCGCCGTGCGGGAAGCCCGTGCATCTCTTCCCACCAATGCCACATGTGCTCCCCTCGCATGATTGCATCGCCCATGGTCGCCGGCAGCCCTGATGCTGTCCCTTAAAAGGGGATGACCGACACAGTGCAGTCTCTTCAGCAGCCTGATGGGTTCCAACCTCCATATGCTGGGCAAGGGTCTGCCTAACCAGCATGCATACTGTGGATGCTCCAAAAAGAAGCAGCCTCCAGCGGCCGCAAACCACCACGCTGCATCGATGGCAAAGGCAAGCAGGCGATTAGCCACATACACCTGCTTAGCTTGCTTGGCCTTGAGCCCTTCCAGCCCGTACAGTGCCTCCGCTGACCTCAAGGGAGAGGGGCCACCCGTCCTGAACCTCGCAGCTGACCATGATTCAAGGATCTGTCCGCTCAAGATCCAGTTCTTCCACTTGTCTGCATTGTCTGTGTTGAGCAGGTCGCCCATCTCAGCATCAATCCAATGCTTGTTCGGCGTCGACCTTGACTTCCGTGCCAAGGCCTTCCAATACCTTCTCTACCTCATCAACCGTCTGTGCAAGGTGGCTAGTCGCCATAGCGAGGTTAACATACTCCAGCGTGATCTGCATACTGGTTCTGACCTGCACAGTAACCACAGGAGGAGAATCGTTTACTGCGAAATCGCAGCCGTTTATACCGAAAAACATTCCGCCGAAGGGGTCCGCTTCTGCCCAGTTGAACTTGTCGTTCCGCCCCATGAAGTCCAGCAAGGCTGCCCTGTTCTCCAGGGCTGCCTTGATAAGATACCTCGTTATTCCGGGCTTAATCTCATGCCGGCGGACGTGTGGATTGGTTTTAGCCGCTGCGGTGAGGATCTCGCCTTTTGCGAAGGCGTCAGCTCTAGTCGCCGGCATGGTCCACAGGTAACCTCTAGCTGTGGTTCCTGCATCTATTGTGACAACCACGTAGCCCCCCAAAGTGCGCACATCAGTTCCACCCATCGTGTCGAAGGCTGGCAATTGGGGTAGCACCCCTGCTGTGTCACGTGCACCGGTAGAGGCCATTGTTGGCTGGTTCACCGCATCAAAATACAGCTTGTCATCCAAAAGGACGCGCGTGTGGGCGCGGTCCATCTGACCGGACAGTGCGGTTCCCGTAAAGTATACAAGGGACTAGGGTGGAAAAGAAACAGCGGGTCGTAACCGGTTTCGTCCGTCACCTTCCAGAGTGGAAAGCGAGCGCGACCGATGAAGGTTTGCACCCGGGTTGCCCACCGCATGGAAGACCCCTGCTCATCATCCTGCTCAGGATGTTCGCCTGACTCCTCGCGGAGCCCGCCCTCGATGGCCTCATCTGCCGCCCTGATGGCTTCGATTGAGGCTTGCTCTTCGGCTTCGCGGCTGGTTTCCGCTGTTTGGGCGGCTGCGGCCACTGCGCTCCTCCCGATTTGGAGGATGCGCTCTGCGTAGCGCGCCGCTGGGCCTCCTTGCGGCTGACCCCTTTCTTGATCTCCTTCTGCAGCTTCTCGGTGTAAAGCTTTGAGTAGGATTGTGATGACATACCTCGCAATGGGTGATGCTATTGGTAATGTAAGTGCTGGAAGAGCTTGCTCCATTCTTGATGCCTATTTACATGAAACCTGATCGAGCAAAATGAGCCAAATTTCACTCGACTTTACAGACCCACAAGTCACCGTTTCTGCCGCTTAACCAACAACTTGCCGCCACAGAAAAGATGACATTCAATGGCATCCGCAGGTGCGACTGTTCTGTCACTTTACACAGCTCATATCCCGTAGCCTTTTCTCGGGCACACGAGGCTTGGACCTATCCCCCTCTTATTCCAAGACCCCCTCCTGTGTGTGGCATCCCCCGAGTTGTGCCACAGTGTTAATTCTCGTGAGGATAAATGCCTTCTCAGGTTCACCCGTGAGTGGTTTCCCACTCTGTGCCCGAACCGTACGCTGTCGCTGCTAACAGATGTCACCCTCATCACGTACGGCGGATTTCGTCCCAGTAGCCTGCCCACGGCACAGGGGACTCATCAGAAGCTCTGCATGCTCGCTTTGGTCTAGCGATTGACAACGGGCGTGTCTTTTAACATGACTTAATTCACCAGGTGAGGTCTGTGGCAAGCAGACCGGTGGCGCATTTTCCCCTGGGGAGGGGTGCTCTTCCAGCTTTAACGCCCGCAGGCGGGGCAGTTTAAGGTCGTACCCAGGACCCGCCATCATGACTCACTTGTGAGCCTCGAGTGCCGCCGTGATGGCCGACACCGCGCCGTCTTTCAGACTTATAATGGCTTCCTCCTGTTCCGCGACAGAGATGCCGGTCTCCCTCTCGTAAGCTTGCATCATGTGCAGGGCGTCCCCTCCATCGTACATGAAGAGGTCATGCTTCTTGAGCAGCTTGCAGTAGAAGTCATTTTCGCCAAGCTTGTTGACCTCATGGTAGGCGTTGCTATGCAGTGCAAACTGCTCCGAGTGCAACACTCCACCCTGCTTAGCGTGCTCGTCAGCTATCGCTCTGCAAAGCGCGAATTGGAACGGGCTATATGTGCAGTTAGCCATCATCGCCACCGCCTTGGTGTGCCCTGAGGTGTGCCTGTCGTCGCACGTGTTGAAACTAACACTCAGGGAGCAGATCACCTTGAATGGTTTCGGGAACAGATACGTCTCCGTCCCGACGGCTACCGCTATCTTTGAGCAAAATTCCAGGCGACCGTCTGCTGGTCGGAGTGCATCTTCGAAGGCGAGGTCTCCGCAGGTGCCGTGTGGTTCGATTTTGAAACCGAACTCTGCGTAGTTGTTGCACCATTCCTTTCCAAACCTCCTCTCACCTCCGAAAGCAGCGGTCAGGCTCTTGCTGAATGCCTGCTCTCCGTCGTCGCCTTCTGACATCAAGTTCGCAAGATCGCTGCCCTCCAGTATGCTCTTCAGCTTGCGCTTGAAAACCTTCTCGCTGTCGCCAGACGCCTCAAACATCATAGACAGATTGGCGAGAAACAAGCAGAGGTTGGTGATGAAATTGAGTATGCTCGTACCTCTGTCTCCCGACTCCCTTATCATGTCGAGTATCACCGCTTTCAGGACATTGCGCACATTGATGTGGCACTTGTCTTTCACGCGGTCATAGACAGCTTGGTAGAGCAAACCACTGCTGTTGTCCAGTCCGAGGACCTTACTGAAAAGCGTGACAATAATGTCATTCTCCACTATGTCCCGGAGCTCCTTCGTGCATGAGCCATCGAATGCGCCGAAATCCATGGATGCATGGAAGTCGTAGTTGCGCATGAAATCGCCGATGCGACGTGCGAGCTCCTTCGGGGACGCGTGTTTTATGGAGCGCTTCTTGTATAGAGGCGTCTCAAACAACAACCTTTCCAAGGCCCCAGCGTCGAAAATGTGACGTATCACTCCCTGGTCGGACGCTGAGATTATGGCTCTTGGTTTGACCTTTGCCAAAGCCTCATTTGGTTTGACACTTAGGTCACGGCGCAATTCACGGTCGGTGTCCACGCCGGACTGTCTGAGAGCGCTCAGGAACCTTTCCCTGGTCCACTTCCCGGACTTCAACTCCTCAGGCAATGCTGTCAGAACATCGAACACTTCTAGGATCCTACCGTCGTCAAAGGCTGTCTGCATTATTGAAGTGCGCAAAATGTGCGCAGCTCTCTGAAGGTCTTGCTCGTCATTTCACCGACTCCAGATCCAATCTTGAAGTGCCTGTTCTTCATAGCAGCGACTGCATTCCCGATTGAAGGTTTGGCGACAAACACGCCTGGGATCTTGCCCTCCTCCACTGGTGTCCACACGCCGCACCATGCCTGCATATCCCTCTCCTCCATTCCATGCAGGTCAGATGCTGCTATAGACATCCTAGCCTCGTCCTCTACTGCCTTGCGAAGCTCGTTTGTGCCCTTCTTGCTCACGTCAGAGCTGTAATCAAGGAAAGCACTGCCTCCTCTGAGCTCTATTTTGACCGGCTCTCCAAAATAGGAGGTGTCCCCTAGAGTATGCACGCCACCGTTGGCGTGAACGGGATGTTCTGTGAACCCAGTGATTGGATTCTCAGGAGACGAGCGGTGGTCTCCCCGCTCTATCTCGGAGGGGTCTGGGATTGTTACCTCAGGGTGTCTCAGCTCCCCAAAGGTCGTTGTGAGGTTGCTGCTCGCACTCTGGTCTTCTCGGGCGTCCGATATCCTGTCCAAGTCAACATATTCGTCACGGACGGCTCCCAACCAGTGATTTGTGCGCAGCGCCCACACGGGCGGTGAGGTGCAGATTTGATCAACGATCACTGCTCCTTCATGCGGTACAGCTCCCTGTTCACCTGTTTCTTAGTGAGGCCTGTGTCATGACATATCTTCATGATGCGTGCTCCTCCGCCTTCTTCGATACACTGACGCACCTTGGTGTATGCCGAGTCATCAGTGCTGATGCTCTGCCTCTCCGCGATTTTGCGCGGTCCGTTCCTTCCTAGCGTTGCACGATTGTCATCCTCTGGCTCGAGAAATGCTGCTGGGCGTGGTTCGGGTCCAAAATGGAGTCCTCCCAAACCGGGTACTGCCCAATCATTCAGCTCGTAAGAGCTTGGAAAGTGTGCATACTCAATGCCACTGGCATCAAATATCGTGCTGCGTCTCAGAACGGGAAACGGTGTGCTACGCTCGCAATCCAACACATCAAGGATGGTATCGCGTGGTATGCTGTTCCGCTGCCTCTTCTCCCAGTCTCTTCTCCTGTACACCCCGTCGCTACCTAGGGGGCTCACTGGAACCCACCCATCGATACGGCTTATGGTATTCTCAAGCCATAGGCGCCTTGCTGCGATTAGCATGTGGAGCTTGATCAAGTCTACACGTTTTGTGTTTTCTCTCAATCCGTCAACAGTGCGTGCGCCAAAAGCGAAGCAATCCCCGAGTCCTCCCGTGTCTTGCTTTGTCACTTGGCGTATCAGCTGTTGCTGGCAGCTCCCCAAAAGCTTATCCTCAACAAAAACGAATGCGAATGGCAGTCGTTCCCTCTCCGTACGATGTCTGAAAGCACCAACTGTGTTCGATATGCCGTTCCTGAACCTGCACGCTGCGGCTTCTATCGCGAGATCACCACGGAACTTGTGTATCTCGCAATTTTGAGCCGCCACAATGTACCCAGTTTTGCTGGACCCTGGCTCGAACACGCCATGTCCTGCATCCTGTAGGCAATGTATACAAATGCCGGTCGCGGAACGCATTGCGTCTATCGATGGGAATGTGGAGATCACTTCCTCATCAAAAGCGCGGAGCTCATCTAGCTCACGTATCAAACCGTTCTTCCTCAGGAAGCCAGTGAATCCTTTCCTGGGACGGAGTTGGTGTTTCACGATATCAAGACCAACCTCAGAGGTGTGTCCAATGAGTTGGTCAAGCACGACGTGCTCGATCGTCGTGGTAGCCATTTTTGTGTCTTGGTGGGTGTGTCGACCAAAGGCTCTTTCAACTCAAGGCTTGCGCTTCTTGAGCCAAAATGGCTACGGATTATTAGATCCTGGGTGGATTATAATATTTCACCAACCTGAAACTTGCGGCGGTTGGGGGGCTATCCCCACATAAACCACCATTTGGGGTGAGTGAATTCGGTCGTGTGAGGTCCTTATAATTCACCCAGATCAAAGAATTCCGGGGATCCTGCACGGCGTAGGATCTCATCTTGCAACTGCAGTACTGTGGATGGACTAAATCCTGCACCACCTAAGAAATGCTGGAATGATGATTGTCTGGTAAATGCCAACAAACAATGGTTTTCCATGGTTTCCAAGCGGTGCAGGATTTCGTCCATCCACAGTATGTCATGCTTGGGACCCCATGGCGGCTTTCTTTAGGTGTCCCTTGCCAAGGAAATCGGAAAGGTACCCTCAGACAAAAAACATTTCTGCGATGCCGAAGTGGGCAATTCCCATGACTTGTTCCCCCTTGGCATCAAAGATGGGCATAAACCAAATTGACCACAATCATGAAGCCCAGGCGACGTGCTATGATCAACTCTCCTAGCTTGTCGTTGGCCCGGGAAGGGTAGGCCATCTTACTCTTTGGGCCAATGAGGAAAACCAAAGCGACCCCCAGACAAGCCCGCAGGACATCGTCCATAGCGCGCAGTCATCGGCTGTGGCGCATATTTTCCTTTGGTTGCTGCAACGACTCTCTAAAAAAATGGTGACCTTGGTGTCTCTCACGGAACCCCTAAGAGGATGTTGGTTTTCCTTCAGGGAGTATTTTAAAGCCACAACAAAGTCCCAAAAAGGATGTGTCGTCTAAAACTAGCGATTCTGGGGCTCCATGTCAACCCTGGAGTGTATTTTGTCAAAGTGAGCGGATTCGGGATGTGAAAGGCCAACAGACAGGCGATGGGAAGCCCGGATTTCATAAACCCCTTGTCAGTAATATGGGGGTGTTCGTGTGCTGAATATCCAGCACCCCCATAATAGTAAAAAGGGGCTTCATAATCCGGTGTCAACATTAAGTAGGCTCTCGCTATGGTTACTGGTGTAACTTGGGCCCTTGCCATGGCGAAGTAACCTACTTACCTGATGTTAAACACCTAAGGGCAAACTCTGAACTCAAACTTCCAAAAGGAGACATGCAAATTGGATCCCGCGAAGGTGAAAAGCTAGCATGAGAGGCCATCTGGGGTTTAGGGCAAAAGAACTATGTACTTGGTTGCTGTGACGACCCCTCTGCAAAAAGCTTACCCTTTTGTGGGTCCAATGGAAAATCCGACCTGTTCAGAACCAAACAGTTAAAGTCCAAAGATACCAAATAGCCATAAAGTTTAAGGAGCGGGCCCCAGCTGGTATGTATGGGTCTCTTTTTGAGTCGCCTTCCAGCCCCCGCCCCCCCCCCCCCCCCCGTTGTCCGTGTAGCGCGTCTCCGGGACGCTGCGCATGAGCTTCAAGCTCCCCGACACGCCGCCCATGGAGCCCTTCCAGTTTCGGTCCCCGATGGACCTGCCAGGGCCGTTCTCACCAAAACTTTTGCTTTCCCAAAGCTTACCCCTTAAAACTCCAAGCCCTGGGAAAGTTCATCTTTTACAGACATATAGCCCATGTTACCGCCAAAAAGTTGAAAAGTTGTGTTTTTTAGAGGTAAGAAGCCAACAGCAGCTCACTTCCGGTTCCTAGTGGACTCACCCACATTGGCTGGAAAAGGGACCCCAGCAAATTTGTAGTGGAAAACAAAAAGAACCCCAAAAAGGCAAACAAATAAAAGGGGAACAAATTCTAGGGAAGAATTGTTGCTTGCCCTGAAGGGCAGCCAACAGAAGCCTCACTTCCCTAGTGCTAGTGGATTGGCCAAAGAAGAGTCACCAAACTTGTTGTTTGCCGCTGAAATTGGCTTTCCCCACCAACCGACAAGTCCAGGCTACTTATCTTTAAGCAAAATTGGTTTGAAGACCCCGGTTGCCTTGTGGAAAAGCAACAGATGCTTCGTCCGACAAGTAGCTACAAGTTGCAAAGGGGTGCCCCTTACCTACGGTACCTGCGTCGAAGAAAGTGAGTGGAAGTGCCAAACAAGTCTGAACATGCTGTTCCCCACTAAAACGGCCTTCTACCCGGCCCGAAACGGGTTTGCAGTCTTTGTGGTAGCCGGGAAGCTTGCTTCCCGGTGAGAAACCAAGAAGGGAACATGCTGTCGGCAACTGATCGAGCAGATCGGCAACACAGTCTAAACTTGTTGCCAGGTCCTCCCGTAGAGAGGACCTAGAATAAGGGTGGAACCCTCCCAACCAAAAAAGGGGTGAGAAAGGGCACCTAGCTGGGGGACCTAGTTGTTGTCTACCAGCAGTCCAACCCCAAAAAGTGACCAAAAAGTCCGAAACCGGAACTCAGGGAGCAAGGGCAAATGAGCCGAGCAGGGTCCCGTTTTCTGACTACCCCAAGATAGACTTAAATGTAGGGGTGTCTCTTCTGAGGAAATCTACCATCCCTGGGGTTGTAAAAAATGGAGCCCTGGAGCTGAGCATGAGAAAAGCTGAAACAAAAAGAACACAAAAGTGTGATATAATATTCCCAGTAGTGAAATGGATTCCCTTTAAACGTCTATCATCTTAAGCAAATGGAAGCTCAAATGAGCTGAAAACAGGGGGGGCCAACATCACAAGTCTGAGGCAAGGGAGCCCACCTGGAGATGGCCGTGGTCTTGCCCTGCGGGTTGCTGGTCATGAGTCGGCCCCCATCCCCCGGGTAGACCATGCCCCCGTTGTCCTTCAGGAAGCGCCTCAGCGAAACGGACCTACATGCTGAGCTGTCCGTTTTCAGCTCCCCCGCTAAAAGTGAATAACTTTTAGTGGGCAAAATGGAAAACCAACCACTAAACAGCTAAAAAGATCCAACAAGCTAAGGAACCGGATGGCTGGGACCATCCATGGGCATCAATCTTTCTCGGCCCTCTGGTGGACATTTGGGGCGAGAAACCTCTCCACCAACCGCTTTCCAGGGGCTTCGACAATGTAAAATGGCCACATGGGGGGGTGCATATCCCATGAACCTTCTGGGTGCCGTCGTGGCTTGGTATTAGTTGGTTTCCGCTGCCAAATCCACTACCGAGACTCAGGAGGTTCATGGGAGATGTACCCTCTACGTATCTCTACAACTCTTGGTATGGTAGCACAAACCATGTGTGTTGTTTGTTTTGCCCCCCCCCCCCCGGTAAAAAATGAACAGAACCAAAACAACAACTAAAAAATAAACACTTGCCAATTGCCAAGAGTGAAGATATGTAGTGGACACCAACTTCGAAAACAAGAAGCCCAGGTCCAGATGCAACCATGGGCCAATCAGATGGGAACCTGCTTTGCCCAAAAAAGGAAGCCACAACTCAGCTGTGCCCTGTAGACCAGCATGGGGCCCGAACCCCCGTTTCTGCCTGAGAAAGTCTTAAACTATTTGCATACCAAGAGGAAACTCACCTTCAATGGGCCTGCGGTCAATGAATCCGTTGAGACGCCCCCGGCTGGTCGGCGTGAGGCCCGCAACAAAAGAACCCGGGCGGAGTCACGCCCAAAGGGAAAGACAAAAATACCGAGACAAAGCGCACTCAATGCGTCCTGCCGAACTATCTACGACATTCGCATAAGCCTACCTTCAATGGGACTAAAAAGGAGTAGTTTACAACCGTCTGGATTTGGACCCACACCTTTGTTCAACCACCCTCTAAAAAGGGCACCAAACCCTCAGGGCCCCTGAAAAGCTTAAAGTTCCCGAGCTCCGGAAGTGAGCCCTTAGAAAGGGTGAGCATCTCATGCCTCGGACCTCCCCTCGGACCTCACCCGCCGGGCCCGAGGCCAGGCGGCTGGTCCTCCGGGACGCTCCAGCTGCCCTGGTGGGCACCCATGGACACCACCTGCCACGCGCGTCACGAAAAACTTGACAGGTCCTTCGGCCACGAAAAGACAAAAAACCGAAAAAAGGACACAAACAATGGATTTTCACAGGGCCAGAGAAGAGGGAAACCAAAACTGGGCCCGTTTTCAGCTCCGGAAAAAAGAAGAAGTGAAACTCACTTTCTTTTAGTGGGTGAAAGGGAAACTAGCACTAGACACGAAAAAGATCAAGGCGGAATCCGAATCGATGGATGGGAGGCACCAAGAAAAGGAAAAGGATCCAATTCGGATTCGGATTTTTCAAAAATCCCGGATCCCTTTCGTTTTTTTTTCAGAACCCCGAAAAAGGGAAACGAAAAGTTGCCAGAGTCGCCGGTGACTTTGTTCAAGGGGATCTAACCAAACAAATCCAACCAACCCAACCAACCCACCAAGTTGCCATGGCACCTGACAGGGGAGTCCCCTACGGAAATGGATTGGAGCCACAAAAAAGGGGGATCCCAAAAAAAGGAAACCAACAGTTTTCTCATCCGGTCGACTCGCTGCGGACCAGCGAGAATCTGCCGCTTTCCGTGGTGCGCCTGTTGTGGGGATCGGCTGATCCCTGAAAAATGGGAAGTTTCCTCTGCTAGGTCCTCCAGTGGAGAGGTTAGAATAAGGGTACCAACTTTTTTGCGTCGTTTATTTTAGAAGGGGAACCCTCTCCCCAAAAAGGGTAAAAGGGCACCACTGAAAAACCTAGTCTGGAAGAGATCAAATATGCCAACAGTTGTACAAATGAAGCAGTGCTAAGCAACCACAGCTTGTGATGAAACGCGCGCCTTTGTACCAAAGGGTTCCAAATGTCACAAAGCCATCTGCAATTGTTTACCATATTTCCAAAATTTGAAATAAGGGTTACCGTGCATGATAGTAAGCTCGTTTTACCCGCTAGTCGGTGAGCTCAAACCCCATGGAACAGGTTTAGCGCGCTTGCCACAAATGAGCAGCGCCCAACACCCGTTGACTTTCAGCTCTACCAGCATGATTGAGCAGGCTTCTATAGGCCGAGAGGCCAAAAAGCCGCGAAAACAGGTACTAACATTCACTTCCTGAGTGCAATGTTACTTACCACTAGTCAACACGGCCAAGAGCAAATTCGGGTGCTGCTCAGATGAGCGTTGGTTTCCCCTTTGAACTTGCTGGGAGGGTGTGGCTCAAAATTAATCAGGAGGGGCAGCAAACAGCAGGCTTTGGTCCATGTTTCCACTTACCACAGCCAAGCATTTGTGGACCCTTCCGCATTCTTGCCACGGGTCACAAATTATTGGAGGCCGCATAGGTATCCCTTCAAGTGTGGTCTTTTCATAGCTGTCCTAGGCCACGTAAAAATCCTACAAAAACCAGATTCACAGGATGGCCAGAATCTTCAAGAACACCTGTGGAACGCGTTGCCACATCAATTCCACAAACATCAGGCTGAGAGCATGGCCAAAACTTCAGGGAAACATGCGGAAAGCAGCATTACGCTACGCGTTGTTTGTTGCTACTGCGGTTTTGGTGTGAGGACAGCGGGAAAAGGAAACATGATGCTGCACCCAACCAGCTTGCCCAGCGTGTGCTTTTTTTAGTGGTTTGTTGTAGCGTTTTGTGTGTCTGAAAGACCTGCATGAAGTCCGCTGAGTCCACTGTGGGGTGTAGAAGCTCACCCAGGCAGGTTGGACAGGTTGGACCAGCCTTGCAACAGCAGGTTTTGCCCATAGAGCTTGTCTTCAAGAAAAGGGTCACATATGATATTATTTCCACTGAGTTGGGGAAGCACCTGCTGGGTATTCTTTTCTTGGCTTTTCTTGGTTTTTATTACGCCTTTCTTGGTTTGTCCTTGCTGTTACTAGGATGTTCATGGTTTTGGCTGGGGGTTGCTCTTTTGAAGCGGCACTGCGATTCGCTTGCTGACTTTGGGAAGCTAAAACTCGGGATCTTCAACGAAACCACCAGAGAGCCAAAAGTGGAAGCCAGCAAAGGACGTACAAAACCGGGCGGGGGGGAGGGGGGGCGGTCCTTTTGCTTTCCCTTTAAAGCAACCCTCATCAGCACACTCCAAAACAAATTTGAAGGGATGTTTAATGTGACCCCAGGGACAACGGTTTGTTCCTAAGTAAAAACAAATGCGATGACTGTTGTTCATTGTTTTCTTCCGCCCATGGCCTACTGCGTTTACGATCATCAAAGTCTCCCTTAGCATTTTCCCAAGTAGATACCAGATTTTCCCAGGGCTTGCCGTGACTCCCAAGTAGGTTCAAGGGAAAACACCCCAGCTGCTGACTTTCATTAACCCCCCCCCAGAAACAGTCAACTTCCATTAGCTTCAGTCGCCTGGAGCAAATAAGCTATTTTCTCCCGTCCGGTAATATGGAACCTGACAGAGGGCTCCTGGAAGACTAGATGCCCTTTGAAGGGACCCGATCTCAAACGGATCACGCCTTGGTCTCCTGCTTTATGCCCTTGCGCACGGTCTCCAGCAGGATCTCGACAGGCCGAAGGTGAAAACACTTTCGCGACTTGAGTGGGCCCATCTAATGTTGACGTCCAGATTAGTAAGCCCATCCAACTAATAGGGGGGTGGGGGCCCCTCCAAAAGTGATGAATCCCCGCAAAACCAGGGACACCCCGAACAGACTTGGGGTTCATTCTTCCGGGGTTCCAACCTGGCTTGCTCTCTGAGCAAAAGGTCCGACCGTTTGGATTTTGTAGGTCCAATGCGAAAGCCATATTTGGATTCCAAAAGGTCTAAGAGGTAAGGTCACACCAAACTCAACAAAAGCGGTGCCAGCAATTCCTGGGCCTCGCCCCTCTTTGGGTGCAAGCAAGCCACAAAAACCATGTGCCACCCAACCACTCCGGCAAATGGTTCCTCGGAAACGGACCTATTCCATGTATTAATGTCCCTCCCCCCCTCTTGCACCAGATCCCGGATCCCAGGCCAGGGCCTTTCGTGAAGATGGCCTCCCTTTTCGCCTCCCTCCTCACTCCCCCTTCTCCCAGCGTGGGGCCCACCAGGCCATGGTTGTTCCGCCCCCCCCACCCCCACCCAACTCCCCAACCCCCGCAACCCCCCCAACCCCCCCAACCCCCACAAACCCCCAAACCCCCAAACCCCCAAACCCCCAAACCCCCAAACCTCCAAACCCCCAAGACCCCAAACCCCCAAGACCCCCCACTCCCCCACTCCCCCACTCCCCAAAGAAACCCGGCGGGCAATCCCACCAACAACCATGGCAACTTGGCAGTTTCAACCTTGGTATTCGTGGTTCCCTTGGCATCCCTTGGCATTTTTCCAACACGCCCATGTCACTTGCCCAAATCCAGAAATAAAAGGTCAACCTTGTCAGTCTCTTCCCTCGGGCCAAAAAGGCGGGGAAAACCAGAAAGGTTAAAAGGATGGTTGTGTTGAACTGCTCACTCCCGGAGTTAAAACAACATAGTCTTCCCAAAGCACCTTGCAACTGCGATTTGTTGCAACTCCGAGCCTGCGCCCAACTCCCCTGGCTTCCTGAGTTGATGGGTGAAAACAAAATTCACCACACCTGAGTCACTTGCTCAAAAACCGGTACTCAGTTGCTCAGTGACCCTGGGAAAAAGGGAACCCCTTTTGGGGAAGACCAGTTTTAGTGGGGCAGCCACCAAAAAAAGGGGGGAACAGGGTGCCACTGGGGTTGTCCTTTTGCTAACCTTCATCTACCCGGGTTTTGATTGTGGCTCACTCTATGTTTCCCATGAACATGGCAGCCAAGCCCAAAAAGTGACCCAAGTCCGCGCCACGGAACTCAGGACATGAGTTCCCTTAACAGCTTGGCATCGAGCGGCCCGAACCAAAGTGCCCAAAGCGCCCAAAATGGCCGAGCGCCCCGCCAGCCCTCCCCCCACCCCACCCATCCCCCCACCCCACCCATCCCCCCAAGCCACCCCAAGCCAAGCCGAGCCCAAAGCCGCCCCGCCAGCTCGCACTGGCCGCAAACCGCGGTGAAGAGCTTCTCGCCCACCAGCAGCGCCACCGCGCCCCCGCAGCCGTCCTGCACCCCGGGCCTCCAGGAAGGCAAGCGAAGGCGAAAGCGGCGAAGGCGGCGGCTTGCGGCGAAAGCGGCCGGTGGCCAGTTGAGGGGTCGGTTTTTGTGTGGTTGGCGGTTTTTTTGAGGGGAAAAGGAGGTTGTGAAAAAACCATGTGGCCATTTAGGGTGTCTACTTTTTGGGGGTAGTAAAACAATCCTTGGTGCATGGACCAGAAAAAGTCCAACCACTTGTTGTTTACCGCCAAAATGGTCCAAACCCAAAAAAACGACCAAGGTCCAGAAACTCGGGGAGCGAGTCCCACCCTTTCCGTTCAAGATTGCACCAAAGGAGAATCATGCACGTTGCATCCGAAAGGAACCCAGTTGTTAGAATGAGAAGGTCATCAGCGCATCTGCCCGTTGCTAAGTTGACTGGCCAGACAAGACGGTTCACTTGTGGCCTCTAGACTAAAGAGAGGAATAAACCTGCCAACAAGCGTTTAGTGTTTGGAAAGTGAAGAGGTATAAAGCAAATGAAACTCGTCCGCGCACACACACAAACAAACAAACAAACAAACAGACAGACAGAGAGACAGAGAGAGAGAGAGAGAGAGAAAAAAGAGAAGCGGGCGCAACTTAATTGCTGGGTAGATTTGCCACCAAACACGTGGTTGCCTGTGGTTGCTGTTGACTCCTCTGCAAAAAGTTTAGCTTTGCGGGGGGTTCAATGCATAAACGCCGATAGGTTTCAACCAAAACAATAGCCACCAAGACATGGCCATGCCACGTAAGTTGAGAACCTCGAACATGTAAGTTGAGAACAAGTTGGAAAACACATAGTAATATTATAACTTGGTTGACTTTGAAGGGGAGCAACAAACTACATTTCAGCAGCTAAGTAGGATTTTCCCACTAAACCGCAATAAGCAAACATGCAAAAGGTTTCCCAACAACAACCGTGCTAATATCAAGCCAACGATTTCAGAAAATGAAAAGTGGAGAGAACCTCGGGGGTTCAGCGCCTCTGGGCGTTGCGCCAAGCAGCTGGTTCCTGAGCACCTCCTTGTCGAGGTCTTCGAAGGCCTTCTTGAGGCAGGCCTCACGGAGGCGGTGATGGGCCCCGGCCTCGACCGTCGGCCCATGGAGAACCCCTGGCTGGTTTCGTTTCTTCATTTTTTTGGGGGTAGAATTTTCTGGGTGATTTTTTTGTAGGTTTTTGGGGTAGAACGTTCTGGGTGAGTTGTTCTCGTTTTTTTTTGGGGGGGGTCTCCATTCAGTGGCTGGAGCCCTGGTGGAGTTTTTCTTTGAGGTGGTGTCTCCCCTTGCAGTGGTTGGATTCAGACCTCTTTTGGAGGGAACACCCCCTTAAGGAAAAGAAGAGTTTTTTCTGGATCTGGGGTCAACATTACTTTAAAAGCAAGCTTCCCAACGACTCATTTGTTCATAGAAAGGGGGATTCCCTTGTAACGCAGCAATGGAGACAAAACCCTTGATACCACAACCCAGTTCAAAAAAAGAGATCTCCGGGCAACTTGCCAGAAAACCTCCGGCCAACCCATCACCCGCCTTCAGGAACGTGGCATTCTCGTAGCCCTGGCACGGACGAACACCAGCGAAGCGAACCGCGCACGCTTGCTCGTGACTTTGTCTCAGTTGCCCCTTAGGGACCCAGAACTAAAAGGTGATCACCTTTTGGCCCCTCTACTAAAAATGGAAAACAAGTGGAAAACCAAAAGGTGAAAAGGTCGATTCGCTTTGGACAACTGAGTTGTTAGATGTTACATTTGAAAAGAAAGGAAACCTTGGGCGCTCCCGGCCACCTTCTCAGTTGCCCAAAGCATCCAGAAATAAACCGTTTCCCTTTGGGGGCCATGACAAAAGGGGAGCCCAAAGAGGTCAGATCCGGTCGATTCGCCCGGGCAAGTGGGTATGAGTCAGGATTAAACCAAGAATTGGACCGCAGGTTTTAGGTTTTGTTTCCATTCACCGGGCAAAAGGGTTACCTTTGTTTCTGGGCCCTTCGGCAACTGAGTTTGGTTTTCTTTCTAGGCATACCTTCCACTTCCATTCTTTCCAGGGATCCTTCATAGAAAACCTCCTTTGAAACCCAGGGACAACGGCGATCGGTTTTGAAAAGAAGGCTGGCTGAAAAGAGTGATTGAAATGAACCCTAGGTTCCTGTGTTGATCCATGCGTAGTCAAGGTCACCAATGCCAAAAAGGTTCGCCTTTTATTCCCAGGTCCTCAGTAAATGTCCACCGCAAACAAAGGGACGAACCCTAGTTTCCCATTCAAAAAGCTGAACTCATTTTGACCACTTACATTGTTTCGGGCCAGAAGTTTGGTCCAGCCCACAAAGCATAGCGAGTTCCCTTGAGCATTTTGTTGAACATTCTGGCAAGTGGGTGTAGTATTGGAAGGGGAGACCATCCCTAACCTCAAACCCACCAATCCAAGCCATCAACTAAAGCTGAGCTTCTAAAGCGGATGGAGGCTGTGTTTTCCAGACCCCTCCTCAACACCCCGGCCCGAACTAATATTTTGCTTGGCAGGTGACTTTACGCCAGCAAAACTCAGAAATTTATGCACCACCATGAGATTGTTCTAGGGGTTGTTTCCCCATTATGTTCGGCCATCGTTCTTTTCAAAAAAACAGCAATTTCCCAAGGGTTTTTGGTGGTTTTCTAGAAAGAAGGATCCCTGAAAACTATATACCCCTAGAATTGTGCATTGTGTAGGGGCCGGGGGGGGGGGGGGGGAGGCAACCTTGGTCCCGTGATAGGAATCGGATCCCTCAAAGAAGGGTGGGTTCCCCCTAAAACTATCCAAAAGTGTACCCTGCACAAACAGACCCACACACACACACAAATGCCTTCTCAAACCTTGGCAGGAGGGGCAGCAAAACACAAAGAGCCCCCCCAACGAACAATGAACAGAACCAAGAAACAACTTTGTTCCTGAGTGGATGGCCAAAGCAAAACCAACCAAACTTTTGGTATGCTACTAAACTTGTCCAGACCAAAGTCCATGAACTCAGGAAGTGAGAAACAAGTGGGGTGGGCTTACTACCATGTTCCTAACCAGAACTCCGATCGGTAGCTCCGAAAAGGCCCCCTCTTTAGATCGGCACATGTGGATACCTCTCTTGGCTCCCTTCCAATAACGCACAAGCAACAAAACAACAACAGGTGCCTCCCCAAACCCACAAACCCTTCCAGAACCCTGACCCGGAGACGCACAACCCAACAAACGACAAAACAACAGATGCCTGCAAACTTGGGTGCTGTAGATCCCCCAGCGAAAAGTTCAACTTGTTGCTCCCGCATCTTCATGTTCGGTAACATGGCCGGACTATGTCGGACCAAGAACCGGAGGTCAGATAGAACGAGGTACCCAAGCGCTTATCGCATTGTAGGTACGGGCCCATGACACTACGCGTAGTGTCGAGGCAACTGCGTCCGGAGGCGCATGGAGGAACGAATTAGGCCGTCGCGGTGGAGGAGTGCATCATGGGGCACAAGAGAAGGGGGGATCTTGGCCAAGTGGAGAGCGGTGGACATCGAGATACTGCCATTGGCACAAGTAAAATAATCGGTCAGGAGGGATTGAACCGACTCCTGATGTGGGAAGAAAGGCCTGGTCGAAAGGCCCTGGACCTGCAGACCACGACCAAATCGGACAAGTTTAATCTTTTTAGTTTGATCCCAAGGCATGATCTGGGCACCAGTAATGGTGGTGAGAGTCCTAAGGCTGTGTACGAAGGCTTTAACCTCATCACCCAGCGGGCGGGCATCAAGAGTGGGGACATAGTGGATGCCCTCCGTAATATAAGTGCCTTTGTGAATCGCGCCAGGAATAGGAATGGGACACTTGGTCTCAAGTCGGAAGGAGACAAGGAGTTCTGCCCAAGAGATCTCAGCAGAACTTGCCTCATGTGAAGTTGGGGGCCAAAGTAGGGAGCTCGTCCAGGCAATCAAGGCTGCATTATATGAGGCGCCCCAGGTGGATGCCGACTTCCAATCATCGTTGACTGGAGTACAATTTAATGGGGTCCAACTTGTTGCTGGTTGAAAGGAAATACGAGGGGAATCCAAAAAGTTAATGTCCATATATCCAACCCAACAGCAGTAGAGCAAAGAATCACAGAGTAAAAGCGCACAACTGGGGCACCTAGGATGTTACATGAAAACTACCACTAAACACTAAGAAGCTAACAAGCTAAGGAACCGGATGGCTGGGCTTGCCGCCACGTAAAGATCCATTAGGAATGAAAACAGCAACGGGTTAAATGGAACTACCGCTAATATTGACCCAGGATTAATAAACCCGTCCCATTATTAGGGTGGTGTTCCCTCCACAAGTGGTCTGAATCCCCACTAAAAGGAATTGGACACCCCCCGATCAAAGGTAACATTAAGCAGCCGCCACGTGAAGATCCATTCCTCGCAATCAAAACAGCAACAGGTTAAATGGAAACTACCACTAGTATTGACCCAGGATTAATAAACCCGTCCCATTATTAGGGTGGTGTTCCCAACCAAAAGGAATTGGACACCTCCCGATCAAAAATCAACCAGGGGTTCTGCTTAATCCGGGGTTAACATTAAGCAGCCGCCACGTAAAGATCCATTACAAGCAGTCAAAACAGCAACAGGTTAAATGGAACTACCACTAATATTGACCAAGGATATCCCAGGATTAATAAACCCGTCCCATTATTGGGGTGGTGTTCCCTCCCATAGTAGTCTGAATCCCCACTAAAAGGAATTGGACACCCCCCGATCAAAAAACCAACCAGGGGTTCTGCTTAATCCGGGGTTACCAGTAAGCAGCCGCCACGTAAAGATCCATTACTAGCAATCAAAACAGCAACAGGTTAAATGGAAACTGCCACTAATGTTGACCCAGGATTAACAAACCGTCCCATTATTGGGGTGGTGTTCCCTCCAAAAGTGGTCTGAATCCCCACTAAAAGGAATTGGACACGCCCGGATCAAAAAATCAACCAGGGGTTCTGCTTAATCCGGGGTTAACATTAAACAGCCGCCACGTGGAGATCCATTAGCAATCAAAACAGCAACAGGTTAAATGGAAACTACCACTAATATTGACCCAGGATTATAAACCGTCCCATTAGTAGGGTGGCCGATCAAAAAATCAACCAGGGGTTCTGCTTAATCCGGGGTTAACATTAAACAGACGCCACGTTAAAGATCCCTTACTAGCAATCAAAACAGCAACAGGTTAAATGGAAACTACGACTAATGTTGACCCAGGAATAATAAACCGTTCCATTATTAGGGTGGTGTTCCCTCCAAAAGTGGTCTGAATCCCCACTAAAAGGAATTGGACACCCCCCGATCAACAAATCAACCAGGGGTTCTGCTTAATCCGGGGATAACATTAAACAGCCGCCACGTAAAGATCCATTACTAGCAATCAAAACAGCAACAGGTTAAATGGAACTACAACTAATATTGACCCAGGATTAATAAACCCGTCCCATTATTGGGGTGGTGTTCCCTCCAATAGTGGTCTGAATCCCCACTAAAAGGAATTGGACACGCCCGGATCAAAACATCAACCAGGGGTTCTGCTTAATCCGGGGTTAACATTAAACAGCCGCCACGTGGAGATCCATTAGCAATCAAAACAGCAACAGGTTAAATGGAAACTACCACTAATATTGACCCAGGATTAATAAACCCGTCCCATTATTGGGGTGGTGTTCCCTCCCATAGTGGTCTGAATCGCCACTAAAAGGAATTGGACACCCCCGGATCAAAACATCACCCAGGGGTTCTGCTTAATCCGGGGATAACATTAAACAGCCGCCACGTAAAGATCCATTAGCAATCAAAACAGCAACAGGTTAAATGGAAACTACCACTAATGTTGACCCAGGATTAATAAACCCGTCCCATTATTGGGGTGGTGTTCCCTCCAAAAGTGGTCTGAATCCCCACTAAAAGGAATTGGACACGCCCGGATCAAAAAATCAACCAGGGGTTCTGCTCAATCCGGGGTTAACATTAAACAGCCGCCACGTGGAGATCCATTAGCAATCAAAACAGCAACAGGTTAAATGGACACTACCACTAATGTTGACCCAGGATTAATAAACCGTTCCATTATTAGGGTGGTGTTCCCTCCAAAAGTGGTCTGAATCCCCACTAAAAGGAATTGGACACCCCCCCGATCAAAAATTAACCAGGTGTTCTGCTTAATCCGGGGTTAACATTAAACAGCCGCCACGTAAAGATCCATTAGCAATGAAAACAGCAACAGGTTAAATGGAAACTACCACTAATGTTGACCCAGGATTAACACACCGTCCCATTATTAGCGTGGTGTTCCCTCCAAAAGTGGTCTGAATCCCCACTAAAAGGAATTGGACACCCCCCGATCAAAAATCAACCAGGCGTTCTGCTTAATCCGGGGTTAACATTAAACAGCCGCCACGTAAAGATCCATTAGCAATCAAATCAGCAACAGGTTAAATGGAAACATGGAAACTACCACTAAACACTAAGATGAAGACCTAAGAAACCGAATCCCGTAGAAACCTAAGAAAACCTAAGAAACTACCACTAAACCTGAAAACCTAAGAAATAGCAATCGAGTTCGGACCTGCGAGCCTGCGGGATGGCGGACATGTTCCGCAGCAGCTTCGGCAGCAGCGTCTTGGCGCAGCTCTCCGAGCAGTTCGCCCCAGTCTGCAAGGGGGGTTGCTGGGGGGGGGGGTGGGGTGTCCCTCTCCCCCGGGGGGGGGGGGTTGGTGGGGAGGGTTGGGCGTGGGGAGGGGAGGGGCCAGGAGTGCATGTAACAGGGGGTTGCTGGGGGGTTGCCGGGGGGAATGACCACTTCTGTGGAAAGTTGTTCTCGTTCTTTTTGGAGGGGGTCTCCATTCAGTGGCTGGACCCCTGGTGGAGTTTTTCTTTGAGGTGGTGTCTCCCCTTGCAGTGGTTGGATTCAGACCTCTTTTGGAGGGAACACCCCCTTGAGGATAAGAATAGTTTTTCTGGATCTGGGGTCAACATTACTTTAAAAGTAAGCTTCCCAACGACTACTGTGTTCATATAAACGGGGATCCCAAAAGTATCACAGAAGTAGTTGGAGAAACCCCTTGATCCCACAACCCTGTTGCTGGGGAGGGGGGGTGGGGGGTGGGGGGGGTGGGGGAGTGGGGGGGGGGGGGTAGGTGTCCCTCCCCCGTAGTGATTCCGTTCCGCGAACGCATGAGTCGTTTTTGGGGAGAGAATTCTGCGTGGGAGTCTCTGTTTTGGGGATATTTCTTTTTGGGTGGGTTTAAAAGGGACTCCAAAGGGCATTATTTGGGTCCCCTCAAAAAAGACTCAGCCCAAAAATACGCCAAGTTGGAGTCTTTGTGCTCCCTCTGCCTCAATGAGCAGCAGTTGGGATTGTACCTTACTAGCCTTCATCTACCCGAGTTGTGATTCTGGCTCATTTGTTTCCAAAAGGTCTCCTTTATGGACGATTCGGTCACAAGGGTGCCAAATTCAAGACCTTACCATGTAGGCGGCTTCCCTTTAACCCCCCCCCCCCCCAAAAAAAAAACAGGTACCCCAAAAATGACAAACCCAGAATCCAACCCCAAGAATTGGATCTAATCCAAGTCGAGGCGTTTCCCCGCGCCATCGATTTCTCGAGAATGACACCGAGAAACAGGAGCAAAGTGAACAGGTCAGCGTCGAGTCATGGTCGAATAAACCTCTTCTCAGTTGCCACTTAGCGACCGGGACAAATAAAGGTTCACCTTTTGGAACCTGTACTACAACTGGACCAAACAGGAGAAACCCAAAGGTCAGAAGGTCGATTCGCTTTGGAGAACAAAGTCTTTGATTCGCTACGTTGCTCCGCTTTTGCACAGCTAAAGGAAGCCCTCCATTTGCTTACTGAAGCTCGCCGGAGAAAAAGAAGAAAGGGAACGTATTGCAATAGTGATAGATTTCCTTTAAAACCAACAGGGGACAAAAAAAAACAGTATTCTTAAGCAACAAATGGAAAAAACAAACCGAAGAAAACCACGGGCCGAAACGCGTGGAGGCTCTGGAGGCGCCCCTTCCGAATGGCACCAGCTTGTAGCTGTCACAAGCGGGGCACCCTTTTTGGAAGTTGAACCCCCTCCAACCCAAAAAAAGAAACCGACATCACCCCACAGGTCTCGGTGAAGTCACAATCGCTTCACTGGGGGCCTTTCGCTTAACCGGGCGCTTTCTGCGTGCGTCCAAGCAATGCGAAACCCAAATTTGGCCCGTCCTACGGTGGCATGTCACCCACATTGATCCACCATAGATTAATCAACGACTTCTTAATACCGTGGATGGACGCAATCCTGCACCACCTAAGAAACCCTGAAATGATGATTCCCCTGTAAATACCAGCAAACAGTGGCTTCTCCTGGATTCAAAGCGTTGCGAACGGATTTCGTCCACCCACAGTATGGGGCCCTTCTCAGGGTTTAAGGGGATCTCAAGCAAACCCCCATAGCAGGTAACACTTTGCCATTTTCCTTTGGGTCTTTAAAGGGTGCCAAGCCAAGGGCTACCAAAACAGGGAACTGCAATCACTGGGGATGGTTTAAAGGGAAACCAAAAGAATCACAACCGTTTTGCGGGTGCCACGAAACTCTTTCGGCGTGTGCAACCTGGGGAGTAAACAAGTATCTACTTGGATGTGAAAAACCAACATCAGGTAAGCAGGTTATACCGATTAGCTTTAACTGGTGAGACTGGGGTGATCGTCCCCTAGCCACGGTGAAGTAACCTGCTTCAAGTATTGTGGATGGCCAAGGCAAGTGAATTGAAACTCACCTTGAGGTGTGTCATGATCCAGCGTGGGTCCTTTCCGAGTTGCCATTTTTTGCTTTTTGTTTGGCTGGGAACAAGAAACCGTAGGGCAACAGGGGAAACGAGACCAAACTGAAATCTCAACAAATTGAAGATATGGCTTAGACATTCAGAGCCAGCTCGCAAAGGGCAGCACTTGGAGCTTGATGCTTTCATGCGAGACTGGGTGTCTGTCAAAAGTGGGGGACCCCTGAAAATGCGGATGTTATTTAAACTTCTTTATGACAGCTCCCGAAGAAGGGTAATGTCTCTCGCCCTCTCACTAATGTAAAGCGAATAATGTTCACCCCACATTAATCAACAATACGGGGAGAGAATTCCCCTAAAGTAATGATTCCCCACATTTCACCCAGGTTGACACCCTATGAATAAACTGGGTTGATTCATATGGGCTGCCCTCAGATCCCCCTTCAGAAAGTGACCAACTTTTAGTTGGTTAAATGGAAACTACCACTGAACACTAAAGGCTAAAAAGCTAAGGAACCGGATGTCTGGGAGTCACCAAGAAATATGGGGTCCACAGTACCGGTTGCTTGTGCCGCCTTTATTTTTTCCCCGGAAAAAGCGCCAGCGCCTCCGCTGCGGACTGGCCATCGAAGAGGGCGAAGAGCTGCAGCGGGGCCTTGTTCCTTGAGCCGCGAATCTCAGATTGAACAAAGAGCTGTTGATGAATATGGGTGTGGGTCAAAAATAACTGCTCAAATCTGGAGGACCTAGTCTGGAACCCTCAGAACGGTTTTCGGAATTTCCAGGTTGACCCCATATAAATAAATGGCTGTGGGTCAAAATAAGGACCCAAAATGGGTTGCCCTGGAACCCTGGAACCAAGAACTAAAACCTGCGGTTCAATTCCTCGTGGTTTCAATGCCCAGCCAAATGAAGAATTCGGAGGGCGGACTCTGAACTGACAACTGGGTTGAGTTTTTTTGGGAGGGGGCGTGGGGTCTGGTTACAGTAAATTGTCAAATGTCTCCTCCCTTTTGTTTTAACTCAGATGCCCAGTGGCCATGGGAAAAAAGGGCGTCCTATTTTTGGATTGGTTGAGTTGCAAGGAATCGGAACCCTTACCCCCAAAGAAATGGAAGAATAATCGGCGCCACTGGGCAACAGAGAAATACGTTTGGTCGTTGACCCCGAACTGACTGCTCACCAACGGCAACTTCCATTTGCTTTGTCCCCCCCTGGGGAAAAAAAACACTTCAGTAGTGATCGATTCCTTGTACAACCAAAAGGGGAAAATAAACATATTCTTAAACCAATGGAAGGCAACCGAGTGGTCATCTGATCTGAGCAAATCAGCATGATTCAAACGAACATGAGGGATCGATACGACATATAGAACACCTTCACCATGGGTAGCGTCGCAACCGCAACCCCCCCGGCTGACGTCGCTATAATTGGCCTAAGAAATCTCACTTGAAAATAAGGAACCGAAAAAGATTGTTGACTTCCTTTTGGGTTTCCTTTAAAACCACTCAAAAAGGATATCCTCAAAACAAGACACAGCAACACCATGCCAACAAATATCGGATAAGTTGCCCAAGGATCCCCATTCGAGGACATTCGCCAAACAACGCAGCGCACGCAGCGTAGCAATTGAGTGACCCAACGAGTTCTAGCACATGGCTTTTATGCTACAAAATTCGGTTCGGATTGCCCTTTGGTGCATTTCTCCCCAGCTTTCCCAACACGTGCGGCCCTGCCCCGGCGCGTGCGCCAGGCGCGTCCTCTGAACCCCCCGTACCCCCCAGCGCCCCCGCCGCACCAAACCGCCCGTTTCACCGAGCGTCTCAAAAAGGCCTCCGGTAGGCAAGGTGATCTTGGAGCGGGCCGCCACTTTCCTCTCGAGCCGGATGGCCCGAAGCGCCGCGTTTTGTTTTTTTTTTTTGGTTGGAGTAGAAACCCGTCCACCAAAAACCATCAAGCAGTGAGGGCGAGCGCATATGAAAATATAACTCCATATGACCACCATTGCCCAGCGTTCAGGAGTTTCATCATCCGAATTGGGTCCCAAGTTGCCATTCGATTTATGAAAATCGATTGAACCCTTGGTGCACCAGTTGGTTTAACCTCAGCCAATCATCTGAAAGCCCTCTTGGAGGCTGACCCCTTTTCAGTCAAAGGGCCAAATCACGACGAATCACTGGGGTTGCAAGCTGATATGTGGGTTGGTCAGCTGGGCGTCAGTTCTTCTCTTTGGCTTTACGAAGAAGAAACAACAAGCCGCCTCCGAAGTATGTTAACTTTTGATAGCGCCAAGTGAGGAATTGTGCAACGTTGCCCCAATGACCCGATTGGCGCCTCAGAAGCTAACATGGATACGGATACGGGGACGAAGCAGGTCATCTTCTGTCCGTCTTGCAGAGGTGGGAAATTCTAAGAATGTGGGCGTGTTATTTTTTGAGGGTATCCCTATTTGTGTGAAGGAAAACCCAATTAAGGAAAACCATGTTTGCTTGTGTTGTTCCTTTCTTTTTTCATTTTTTTTTTGGGGGGGGTCCCCTGAATAAAAAACACACACCCACGTGCCGTCTGAAGGATATGAACCGACCGAAATGCAGCTAATAGCAAATACTCAAAAAAGACAAATTGGCAAGGCCTGGGTCAGAATTGGACCCTCATTGGAAACGGACACATCGCAGATCCAATCATTTTCCCTTCCAATACTTGAGTGGAAACTCACTGGACGAGAGCCCAACTTCAACCAAGCCCCGAATTAATGGTTTGTTGGTTTGGACGTTAGGGGGACACACTCATCACACTACCAATCCCTCAATCTTGCGGTCTGCACAACCCCCCCCCCCAAACAAAGGTAACAGGACCCAGGATCAGGCCAGCACGGTGTACACTTTCTGGTCTTGCAGCCAGTGTTGCATGGGAACCATGTGACATCCGAATGAATATGGCTGTCTCCTGTTTCGGGCCCCTTTTGGTTGGTGTCAAGCAAAAACAACCGGAAAACCCACCCATTTCTGGGGTTCCCCAATTTCCAGACGACCCCAGAAGTGTCCTTCCAAGCACACCCAATAAGGAACCTCTGAGATTGGATGGCCCCTACGAAGTGAAGCTACCCATGTCCTTTTAGGTTGGAATCAGATGGGTTTCCCTAGTAGAGAAAAAAAACACCCGGTAAACCAGGATGCGCCATCGACTTTTCGAGCAAGACCACCAAAAACGACACCATTATGTCGCTACCGCGAGCCCGTTGGGAACTTCAGGCCGCGAGCCTCAAGGCCTCGCCCATCATTAAAAAAAGTGCTTCCATTTGCGGTTTCGCCCTGGAAAAACAACTAAAGATATTTCCGGTAGTGAAATTGATTCCTTTCAAAAACCGACAGGGGAAAATTCAACATCTTTTTAACAAATGGAAGAATGCATATGCACCATGCTCCCAGCTCAACCGAGGCAATAACTGGCTGGTGCCACCTCCAACTTATTTCGTGCTCGTTGGATATGTGGTAAAGTTTAGGTCAATTCCCTGCTCGCCCAACAAAAATCGAGCCGCGATGAAAAGAACCGGCCGTGCCGTGCTCCCTCATTTGCTCATATTTCCAGCGCGGCATTGCCATCCATAGACCAGGTGCTCTCGTCAAAATCGAGCCGACGGGCCGCGATCCCTGCCCTCGGCTCCTGAGATCCTTCACAATGAGATGTCTCACCAGGTTGTACTCCACCCTGGCAATCCCACCAGCCCCGCCCCGCAGCAGCCAGGGCTTCGAGAAGGGCCTTATTTGGAGATCCAGGGCTAGAGGAGGGGTTTGGGGATGTGGATCCTAGGATGCGCTTTCAAAACGATGGAAACATGTGAATATTCTGGCGGGGACAAACATCTGACTGGAACCGGCATGCCCCACACAAAGGCATGCACCACATCTGGAACAAGGAGAGACAATGTAGAAATGCGTGTGAATCTGCACAGGAAACAACTTAAGTGGTTTAAAGGGAAGCCAACAGGAAGACCAACCTCCTTGCTGAGTCGTCCTATTTTCCTCCATTTGCGAATGCGTCCCCTGGAAAAAATAGTATCGATAAGATTCCTTTTAAAACCAGCAGGGAAAACAGAAGGGTTGGGGACAAACTTGAACCATAGGTGGGGACCGCAGGTTTTAGTCCATGTTTCCGTTTGCCAGGATTCAGGGGTTACCCTATCTTTGACCCACAGCCACAACCAACAGGATGTTGAAACGCACATGGAAGACGATGAGCCAAGCATGACTCATTCATGGGAACCCCCCTCCCATCAATAGGAGATGTTTGTTGATCCAGGGTCAAGAGATGATTCCTCTACCACGTTGCAATCCCATCGGTTGCTCCGAAAGGCTCCCTCTTTACATCAAATTTTGAGAGCCCCAGCTCCTGGACGGCTCTCTTCCAACCACCAGCTAGTAAAAGTTGACAATCACCCACTAAACTTAGTGGGCCAAGAACAAGTCGATATTTTTCACCACTATGGTCCAAACATGTCCAAACCCACCAGTGACAGGACGTGCGACAAAGGGGGGAACTACAGTATAAAAGGTGGTCAAAGTTCCAACCGAGAAGGACGAAGCTCGGTTTTCCGCGCCTTCCAAGGCTCACGGCGTCCACTGCCACCCTCAGTGTGGCGGCAGCTTCCTCCTCTTCCTCAGAGCGCACGAGATGGCGACGGCGGCGTGGGGCCCGCGAAAATTTGAAAAATGTGGCTCAAGAAATGGGTACCCCAAAATGGGACTCACCTGGGCAAATGGAATTCTAAAGGCTAAAACCTGCACCCTAGCTCTGAGAAAAATGGAGGTGGCTGAAACAACTTCCATTTACTTAAAAGCCCCCTGTTTTGTTGTTGTTTTCTTTTTTTTGTTTTATGTCCAGTAGTGATCGATTCCTTTTAAAACGAAAGAGAAAATAACACATATTCTTAAACAAATGGAAGACAATGGCACCCCAAATGGGATTCACCTGGGTAAATGTAAAGGCTAAAAACTGCAGCCTAGCTCTTTGATCTGGAGCCACAGCCAAACAGTAATCGTTGCCAAACATGGGTTGCCTTGGAAACGTAGACTAAAACCTGCGGTCGCCTGAGCCACACCCAGGGCATTCATCCCCCTAAACGGGGAATGGGTAGGGGAATGGTCCCGCAATTCTGGTGTCAGGAAGGTGAGACCATTCTCAATTCTGTATGTTTGAGGGTACCTTGTTGGGGTTTGGGTAAAAAGGAAATGTGTCAAAATTCGACACCTATTTCAAACTGGGCTTCTATTTTGGGTCCCCTTGTCCCCTTTGCTTTTCTCAAAGTAGGAGACCCCTACAAATGAGACTGGTTTCCTTTTGATCTTCGAAATCGTGGCTTCATTTTTGTTTTCCCAAATCTGATCTTGGAGATACTGGTTTCGCTTGGTCTCCCTTTCAAGTTGTGGCTTCCTTTTGAATTCCCTTTAACATAGTGAAGCGGGGGCGTCCAAAATTCTGAGAAACCTTCTTGCTTCGGAACCCCTGGCACGGGAAGAAACCAGTGCACCCTAAAGCTGGGCAGTCCGAAAGCCCAAAAACCTAAGGAACCCCAAGCAATGGACACCAACCGCGAACTTCAACCCCGTAGTGTGGCAGGCTGGTTTGCGCCAAGGCATCAATGTCCATTTACATGCACACTGCTCACTGCAAACATGAGGGTGGAGGCCAAATGGATCCTCGGAAGTTTAATCTGAGGTTAGGTTAACCCTGAGCTCGCCTCAGACCCTTAGGGTCACCTAGGAAAATTGGATATACATCCCCTACACAGGGTGTATGTCCAAGCACTTCGAAGGTGGTTCCCTACTGGCATTCATAGCCTTGGTTAATTTATTAACTGGCTGTCCTTAGATGCCCTGCTAGTTGTTTAACTTTTAGTGGATGGAAACCCAACCACTAAACTTGGTTGACGTTGAAGGGGAGCAAAAAAAAGAGGTTTTAGCAGCTAAGTGGGGAGTTCCCACTAAACCACAATAAGCAAAAAAGTAAAATGTGTCCAAACGACGACCATGTAAACCCTACCTAAAACACAAAAACAAGAAAAGCTAAGCAACCGGATGGCTGGGCTTGCCACCAAGTGAACACATAGCCATATGCCCGTGCTCTCGGTTTGCTGGACATTCGCCGAGTGGCCCTCAGCTCCTTTGCCTGCAGCTCCTTCGCCTGCGGAGCCGCGCTAAGAGCTGAAGTTTTTGTGGGCTACGGATCCAACCCAAAAGCAGTAGAGCAAAGAACCACAAGGGTAAAAGGGCACAACTGGAGGACCTAGGACGTTAAATGGAAACGTCCAAACACTAAAAAGCTAACAAAGCTAAGGAACGGGATGGCCTTCGGGAGCCACCAAGAGTAAGATCAGTGGGAGTGTCCCTTTTGGGGTTGCGGGCTCGTAGACTTCAACCGCTTTGCTTCTTTGGGGAATCAACCCCTGGGTTCAAGTCTTCCTGGTGGTCAAAAGATGGAACCCGGCAGTTCCTACTCTTGAAAGGCAGACTTGGCTACGCCTAGCTTGGCTCCCTGCAAATCCCTAGCCACACCACTCTTCAGCCCTTGAGTTTCATCTGCCTTGGGTGGGGATCAAGAAAAGGAAACAAGCTCATTGTAGCCCCCGGCGGTTGCAAGTGGACCTTCAAATACGACACCATAGGCTGCCTCAACATCAAAAATCGGGGCCAATTCAGGACTAGAACGGGGTCGTGGGCTTTCGCTCGTTTCACCCTCGTCAAAAGAAAGGGATAGAACGAATCGAGTTGTTCTGGAAGCAGTTGCAGCACAACTTGGGCTTGAAACGAAGGAACTCGGCGGAGAATCCGCCAAGTCAGATTGCTTCATCAGGTCCTTGGAGCAACGGGCTGCAGAACACCCCTCAGGCCTGAGGAACACCAACCAGGTCCTCCAGTAGAGAGGCTAGAATAAGTCGGTACCAACTTTCTTCTTGTTTGTCTATTTTAGTAGGGGAGCCCTCCCCCCAACAAAGGGGAGAGAAAGGGCACCTAGTTGGGGGACCTAGACCCCCCTCGGGCCTGAGGAATACCAAATCCAAACCAACTCCGGACCGAACGGCCTGCTCATGCTCCCGGAAGTGGTTGGGCACCTGGCCTTGCTGCTTCAGCTTCCTGAGAGGTGCGTCAGGCGCTCGCACGCTAAGGCACGCGCGCTCCCGGGTCCGTGCGTGTTTTTGTGTGTGTGTGTCCCCCTTGTTGGGTTCGGCTTGAACAGGTCATCCAAGAAAAGCATAACTGCCTTGACTGCAACCGTGTTCTGTGTAAGATAGAAGTGAGTTGGAATTCCAAACCATTCCAACAACTCCCAGCAAACAATCGCCAAGGGCGTCAATCCTGTCATACCCCAAAGGTTAACAGGAACCCATTGCCCCCAAAACCTATTGACCCCTCCAACTCGGCTCCAAAGTATCCACTCAATTTTACCCATTCCCTTTCCATTTGCGGCTGTCCGGTGGGGTTCTCAGGGCAACCAACAAAACCTGGGAAAGTCCGAGGGTCCAGAGCGGCGTGCCAGAGAAGCCAGCATTGCTGGAGCAGAAGTTCTGTCCGGAGGAACCTGGCCGGTGCTCGACTGGTGCCCAATGGTCGGTCTTCGTCGGACCGGGTCCCAAAAAAAAACGGGGGATTCATTCGGGTGTGTGTGTGTTTTGCGAGGGGGTCCATTGCAGGGACATCCAAACGGGCTTTGTGGACTAGTTGCACGGGGGCCATTGTTCCCAGAGCTGCCTACGTTCCCCTTTACACTGTAGACATCACCTCAAAAGGACACACAATTTAAGCTTGGCAACAACATGATAGCCACCAACATGTGCTCCGGTTGCCTTTTGGTTTTCCTTTCACCAGCAAGTGCCCCTCAAACAACCAACCAACCAAACAAACAAACAAACAAATATAATGCACGCATGCATGGGTGTGTGTTTTGCGAGCTGGTTTGGAGAAACATGGAAGGAACACCCCGCTTTCTTGGAGTCCCAACTTTTCTTGAAGTTACTAAGTTCCACATTTTTGAGACACATCCATGCAGGTATGCGTCCAAATAGGGGAAGCGTAAAATGGTTGTTATCCTTCTGGGCTCCCTTTAAGCAAAGGTGAAATGGATACCCTCCAAAAACTTCACCCCCTTTTTCCGGGGTGCTCAAAACAGTGGCTCCCTAAATGGTTGCTTCCCCTTTGCTTTCAATCCATCAAAAGCTCTACAACGCCTGGTATGGTAGCAACCAACTTTGGTTTTTTCATCACCCCAGTAAAAACGTTCAGAGCCAACAAACAAACCAAAAAGAAAAACACAACACTTGCCAAGAACACTGAAGTAAAGGCCCACGTTTCCCCAAGCCGGCCTCCTCCTCCGCTCATGGCGCTCCGGCGTTGCGCGCAAGCTCCACGCGTGGAGCTCAAGTTCTCACGAGCCAAAGGGCAGCGAAAGCATCGGCGCCCTCAATAGACTCCATAGTTAAGCGGCAAGTGTTGGAGTCTTGCAGGGGTCTTAGGTAGTTCCTAGCGACGATTCGCGGCAACTAGCGGTGAATAGCGGCTTAGCTCAGGATGCGTCCCGGACTCGGGAGGACAAGGATTTGAACACGCGACGATTAAGAGCGGCTTAGCTCAGGATGTCTCCCCCACACCTGAACACAAAGACGAAAACCGAGAGAAAGAGAACCAGAGAGAGAGAGAGAAAACACAACAATAACATACACAAACACACCGATACACACTCAAATTCACGTGATCAAACACAACAAACACAAATACAAACAACAAGATCGCACATAATCGCACATAATCGCACATACACACATGCACACACACACACACAGACACACACACACAAACAAACACACAGACAAACGCACACACACACACACACACGCGCCCACGCCCACGCCCACGCCCACGCCCACGCACACACGCACACACGCACACACGCACACACACACACACACACACACACACACACACACACACACACACACACACACACACACACACACACACACACACACACACACACACACACACACACACACACACACACACACACACACACACACACACACACACACACTCCACGCACACGCACGCACACGCACACGCACGCACACGCACACGCACACGCACACGCACACGCACGCGCACGCACACGCACACGCACACGCACACGCACACGCACACGCACACGCACACGCACACGCACACGCACACGCACACGCACACGCACACGCACACGCACACGCACACGCACACGCACACACGCACACGCACACGCACACGCACACGCACACGCACACGCACACGCACACGCACACGCACACGCACACACGCACACGCCACGCGCACGCGCACGCGCACGCGCACGCGCACGCGCACGCGCACGCGCACGCGCACGCGCACGCGCACGCGCACGCGCACGCACACGCGCGCACACGCGCACACGCGCGCACGCGCGCACACGCGCACACACACACACAAACATAAACATAAACATAAACAGCAAACACACACACACACACAATTGAGGGCAGCTCCGTGCTGAATTGTTGCACAAACCTCAACTGCGGAGGTGGCCAAAGAAGTGAAGAAGTCTGAACCCCTGCGGGAATCAAGAACCCACTTTAGGAGTTTTTGCATCGGGCCTAAGGAGCGTCTCCGAAGAGTAGAACGGCGTGCAAAGGGATCGATCAACTTGACGGCCCGGCGTGGCCTTCTGAAACCGAGGGGTGATGGGATTCTGCCCCCCGAGAATTTCTGTGCTTCAACTTGGGAGTTGGGATCTGCGCAGGGCACTGACAAAGCAGAAATCCACAGGACGGAACTCCAGAAAGGCGGCTTGTCAGCGGCTCGTCAAGGAATCCGGCGAGCCAAGTCAGAACAGCGCAAGTGGCCGGGAACGGAACTTGAATAGGGAGCCACCTCCAAACCGGGCGGGCACAAATCCCCGACCAAAGGGCCCCCTATCAAAATTCACACCCATATGCAAATCCTGATGGGGGTATGGGGTCAAAACTAAACCACCAGGAATTGGACCACAGGTTTTAGTCCTTGGTTGCACTTACCAGGGCAAACCATGTTGGGGTCAACCGCACAGCCATGGGATGTCACTTTTGATCGGCGACGGCCCAGCTCCAGCAAAAATAATCCTGTGCGCCGTGCTGTGGGCCAGAAGAGGGTCCGTGCCGGTGAGGCCAACCTGCACCGAACGTCGCACTTCTCAGTTGCTCAAGTGACAATACACCCTACTCCACATGCCAACTCTTTCTAGGGTACTTTCTAAAAAACCAGGGTTTCCATGCAAAATACCTCCTCTCTTAGTAGAGGGTCGACATCATACCCTAGAAAAAGAGTGACAATAATCTACGTCCTCCAGTAGAGAGGTAGGGTACCCATTTGTTGTCTTTTTATCTATTTTAGTAGGGGAACCCTCCCCACCAAAAAAGGGGGTGAGAAAGGAGCACTACTGGGGGGACCTAGATAGGGTTCTTTCCAGGAACCCCAGGAGAAAAAGAAAGAGGACTCGTGCATACCCGTTCATATAGTGGCTTTGCATCGCGGTGGCTTGGAGGTACAGGACACCATCTTCGCAGTGTTTTTTCCCATTCTGGTCGCACTCGTGGTGTTGGTCATCGTGGTTTACCTAGGGCAAAGCATTCCTTGTTCCCACCGTTCTCAGCGTAGCAAGTCATACTGGGGAAGCCACCGTGACCCGAGCCGTGTGTTGAGTGACAAATTCAGCTTCCGAGCCCAATGGCTTGGAGCCCGCTTTGGTGATGAAATGGAGGGGTCCATTAACCCCTCAAGAACCAGGGCCGTTGATTCCAAATTCAAACCACTCCCAACCACCGTTTGAGAGTTCCCTGAGAACTTGCGTCTTGCGCAAAGCTGTCTCCAAACCAATCCCAACCGCAACTTGAGGGTTAGCTGGCAACTTGCGTCTTGTGACCAGGGGTGTCTTTCGGCCCAGTTGGGGCGTGAGAGTTCTCAGCGCATTGGGGCACGGTGTTTGGATGCAACACATCCATATAGGTGTGTCGTAGCCCAAACATGGGTGCTTCACCCTCCCAAGAAACACACGCACACATAACGTATGTACATGCCACTTGCCAGCCGCGCCTCAACCTTGCACAAATGTTCGTAGCCGCAAAGAACCGCACAGGGGGCAGCATCTACAAACGAATGGTGATATTATCAGTTGCTTATGTGACTACGCGCCCTTTGCCCAAAGAACGCTGACCATAGATGTTCTTTCAGGCTCGACATCAGGGTTTGTCTCAAGACAGGGGAACCCCAAACCGAGTGGGGGGAGCCCGCAAAAAAAGAGACGCACCCTCCCGCCCAACATGAAAGCTTACTGGAGGTAAGCTCAGGCAATGTCCCACTTGTGGGTTCCCATGGTTGCGAAAACTTTGAGGTTCAACCAACGTCAGGCAAGTAGGTCACTTCACGTGGATTTCCCATGGGGGAAAAAAGTTTCAAGGAATCGAAGCCCTTACCCCAAGAACGGAAAACAAAAGGTGCCACGGGGCAACAGACGGCTGTAACATACTTTGAGCATCCAAGGGAGGCAGGGTCACTGGATGTCCGCTTGAACAAATGCAACTGGCGTGACTGGTGGGTTCCATTAAAACGATCACCACTTTTGGAACCAAGAGGGAAATGAAGTAAACCCTGCTGGTGCTCAGGAAATGACCCAAAAACAACTCGAGGAAGAGGATCCCAAATCGGATGGCTTTGGTCTGTTGCCCGCTCAAAATACCAACGACGCGCCAGATCCTGACCTCACAGGCGGGGAGGCTGCCTGAGGAGCTGCCTGGGAACGAGGTGCTGTTTGCAGAGACGGCTTCTCAAATTCCATCAGCCTTCAGGTTGGCATTTTTTCGGGAACCCAACCCAAATTCGAAGGGGAAGAAGGTGGCACACCAAGTGGAATCATGGCACCCTTTTTTGGCGGTCTGTTTGCGTGGCTGCTCCGATTCAACCTTACGGGAGCAGCCAAAAGCAATTTGTTTCCACCCTTGCATGTGATCATCTTCCCAGTTGCCCCTGTGGGAGAAATCAACGGTGATCACCTGTTGCCCAGAGGCTCCAATTCGATTGATTTAGGGCCCTTCAAACAGCCAGCCTCCCGCTTTCAGACCCCCAGCCACCTCCGGGGTGTCTAAGGGGTCGGGTCTTCCATTGAAAGCCCCAGGAGCCTCTGGGCCAGGACGAAACATGCACCAAAAGCTCGAAAGGTCGATTCGCTGTGGACGAGTAAGTGCAGGCAAGCCTGAGAAGAAGCAACCTTTAGGGTCCCCCAATCTTTGAGAAACAGAATCTGACGTGGCCCTTCTGATACGTGTACCTCTGTATAGATAATTTTCAGGTGAACCTTTTCGCGCGTAAACTGTCCAATGAAATGGGGTCGCTTTGGTGGACGGCATTTGCCCAGTTTGTCCGAAACCTGAGAAACGAAAGGTCCCGCAAGTACCGGACCTGCATGGTGAGCCTGTGAGCTCGTGAGCGAGCTCGCCACAAAATACCGGCAGACGCTGAACATCTCTACTCTTGGTATGGTAGCAAAAAACGTTGTTTGTTTGCAGACCCCCAGTACAAAAAACTATAAAAAAACAAATGCTAAGAACAGTGAAGCTGATTTTTTTTGCTTCATTTCCTCAGCTTCCCAGTAATCCTGGTAGAACAAGGGCACCACTTCCTGGGGCTGGCCATCCTTTACTTAACCCCCCGAACAAACAGAAAACACACACACACAAAACAAAAACAACACAAAAACATGCCTTTCTAACCCCCCCCGGGAAAAACACAAAAAAAGAAGAACAAAACAGCATATCCAGTAGTGGTTGATCTTGAAACGGACAGGGGTATGTCCTTACAGAACTCCTGGCCACGAAAAGGCCGTCGCTTCCGTGGGTGCAGGCTTCCCTTGACTCACTGGTTGTTTGCCACACAAAACTAGGTCCTCCAGTAGAAAGGTTATAGAGAGGTTAAAATAAGGGTACCCTTTTTTTCTATAGTCTATTTGAGTAGGGGAGCCCTCCCCAAAAAAAGGTGTGAGAGGTCGGGCACCAATTGCTGGGGGACCTAGAAATGGTGTCTGGACCCTAAGTGCCTGAAGTCCAGGTACTCGGGAGCCCCAAAAAAGCGCAGCCTGGAATTTACAAAGCGCCCTTCAAAGGAAAATGGCCTTCGAGAAAAAAACCCTCAGTTGTTCAGTGACCCTGGAAAAAAAAGGAACCCTTTCTTGGGAAGACCATTTTAGTGGGGCAGCCACAAAAAAAAAGGGGGAAAAAGGGAACCACTGAACAACTGAGAACATTGCTGTGAGGCATGTGGATGGGAGGGTAGCCTCAAAAACTGGCCTTTCCTACCCTTGCTGCAGTAGCAACAACAGTGTTTTTCCTATTTGTTTGCTGCCCACG